TATGTATGTCATTATTGTGTGATGTGACATAAGTCAGCAGAAACACATGGTGCTGCTCCTATAATCATTTTGTGAAAGCCTGACAGCTGATCTCTGCATCTCACCAATGTTATTAAGGGTAGGTTCCAGCATGAGTTACATCATTTTCATCCAATGTGCTCGTTTACAGTGTATTAAGTTTAAGAGATGTCAGATCATAGTCTTGTTTGGCAGATCACATAGAAAACTCATCAAAGCTGAATACATTTGATATAGCACCTTTCACATCAGGACGTCATCCGAAAGGGTTTCATAGAATAGACTGTAAAAGTGCAGTAACATTTTTTTGTGTGTGGGCAAACGCGACAGCAAATTTGTGCCCAGCAATGTTCCACAAACAGCCATGAAGTGAATGACCAATTTTATTTGGGGAAATTGTTGGAGAGGTCACCGGGAGAAACTCTCTTTTAAAAAAATATCATGAGATCTTTAAGGTCCAGTTGAACAGGCAGACAGGGCCTCAGTTTAACATCTCACCTGAAGGATAGTACCACCAACAATGCAAATGAGTGTCATTTTAAACTATATGAGTTCCAATCCCAAGTGATACTTGAACCCACAAGCATCTGACACAGAAGTGAGAGTGCTGCCAACTGAGTCAAGCTGACACAATGTGAAAGGTGCTGCATAAGTGAAAGTTGCTAACTACATTCAAGCACATCCAAATGTGTCAATTAAATAATTAACCAATGAATGATTTACAGAAGCACCTACCGTCCTTTACATTGTTCAATTTACATAATTAAGGACACATGTATGTGTTTGAACGTGGTTAGCCAATGGGCCAATTATTAACCTAACTCACATTTAAGACCCCAATGTCACAAAAAGCTCTTACTAGCTATTATTTTGCTGAGCTTCCAATGCTACATAGTACACAATAACAGTAATGGTTGTTCAGCCTGACTGATTTTTTCATAGATCAGCACAATATTTGATTATTTCCACTGATAAGTCACAACTGAAACAGAACAATGTCAGAAGATGGACTCTTTTCAGCATTAAATCTGTTTGTTAAAGAAAGCAAACATACCAAAAATGTGTCTGAAAACGTACTTAAAAGTCAGTGCAATTTATTATATCAATGTAAAATTCTTTGCAGAATAGAATACATATTTTAGCTGTCGAATACAATAGTTTACATTTATAAGACTTTCTGCATATTTGGTCTAGTCTGCTTAAGAAGCATGTTTTTAATACTTTGGTCAACAACAGAATTATGCATTTAATCTGTTTATTTAATAACACCAACAATACCAAACATCTCTATATTCCATTATTTATCTCTTATTAAATTCTAATTACTCACATAACAGATACTTTGCAGCAAAAAAAATCTTGAAATATGAGATCTTAATTTGCTCTAAAAATGAAAGCGTATTTTATTTTAATGCTATGGAATTAAATTAAAGGAAAAAACTGTATATTTCAGTTAATTTTCAAATAGATTTAGCAACTGCTAATATGTTAATTTGTTTTATACACAGCATCCAGTAGATATTTAGCCCAGTGTACATTTTTTTTCTGCTGACCCCTGCATCATTATCATTTTACTTATTTAGAATATTCTACATTTAGAAAAACACCGATCATCAAGAAGGGTATATTATAAGAATCATATCAGAAACTAATAATGTTTAAATTTTCTTTGTGACTTTATTTGCAAAGATTCAATGAAAGAACTTGCTAATATTTCAATATTTCACTGCACTAGTTCGTGTTTGACTTTCAATGCTTTGTAGATATATCACTGTCTTTGGCATTAGAATAATGTGTAGCTTTCTTTAATTTTCTTCCATGGTTCTCTGCAAAAGAATTTATGAATATAATTTTAATGAACACCACATTAGAGGAACTGACGGAGAAATGGAAAATGCATGACTGCAAGCTACACAATATACACCAGATAATGGGCACCTGGTTAATGGAAATAATCATTTAAAAGGAACATTTGCTCAAGCACCATTCATTCCACTATATATTTTAATGAAAAGGCTATTAGTTCATGAGAACAACTTGAACTGCAATTGATACGAACGTTGTAATAAATTGAATATTCAAAGATGTATGTAAGCCAAATAAGTCAACAGGATTTCCACTATCAATTAATCAAGGGCTATTCCATGTGCCAGTATTTTATTTAAACCTGTGCACTATTCCCCATTTGAGAAAATGGAAAGAAGACAACATTCTCTCAATGAAAATCAATTTTTGATGTTTGATTTGCTAGGAACCTGCTGAAACAGTAAGAATGTCCTGCAATAGCAAACAATAGATCCAGTAATCCAGCAGCTCACTGGTACAAGTGAGATCTACTTATATGTTGCAAATCTGTTGCTAAAGATGACTTGATATAAATTATTGGGTATTTGTACAAAGTATTCCTACTGGGATAAATATGTCATTTTTTTATGTGAGTTTACTAGAACTGGAAACCGAAAAGATTTCACTTGCCTCAGAAATGTTCACATTAAGAGTCTTCTACAGGAGGACTATAAGTTTGAAGTTTACTTAAATCTTTTAAATACAGCTGTACAACAGTCCCTTTCTCCACCGTAAACCACCTTAAAGAAGAAAAAAATAAAATGCCGTGCTGATAATTGAATAATTTAAGATCTTATCCAGCTTATAATCAATACATTTAAAGCAATAACAACATATTGATAACTGCTACAATTTTATACCAGGTATAAATTCCAATAATTCCTCCAGCAAAGAGTTCATGAGTTTGTAACGTTTACTTTATCCTGAAAAAGTCCAAATCTAGAAAGAGTTTGTTCTTCACAACAGTGCATTATGAGTCATCTATTTACATCTATTCAGTGTTTTCACTGTATTCACAACATCCAGATTTTTGTCTCCTGTAAGTACCTACATACAGAGTTAATTTTAGAAACATAGTTTAATACTCTGTCATTTTAACACATAAATTGGAAGTGAGGATGTCTGGTTATATTGGTAGAACCAGATGGAAGGAAATATTTGTTTTGCTTAACTCCTTGTTGTTCCTGATTTTATTCTCTTTCTTTGCTGTTCTTTACTTTGTTATTAGGTATTTCCTCATGCCATACACACATGAGAAAATGGATGTCTTTTGACTTTTCGAAAGGTATTCTTCGTGTGTGCACTTCTGGTTTCAATACAAACTAATAGCTGGACGTTCCAGCCTTTAAGACTATTTTGTCTTGAAATTTAAGGTCACACCAAATTTAAATCAAATTTCACAATTCTGCAGCGTGTTTTGTTTTTGCACATTATTCTAAATACCTTTAGAGCTGTCAAAGCATTGTGTTCTCAGTGTACGACTAGCTCAGTTTATTAAACAAGATATTGGTTATGTGTTTGTAAAATTTGCCCATTTCAAGTTTTCTATTTTGTCAAGTAATTGGTTTTCCTGAGCTTGTATTTTGTATCCAAGTCATACTGGAATCTTTTCCTAAATGAGAGTAGAATATTTTTCTAACTGAATCTCGGGTGACTGTCATAGACAGGAATTTAGTGAAGACCTTGGAATTTAAGGTCTGGAAGCAATGTAGGAAAAGTTGCACAAGTGAATATTGCTGATGCAACAAAACATAACTTGGTATTACCAGACTGCAGAGGGTATCTTAGACAGTGTGCAATAAATAATACATTTTCTTTGAGTAGATAAAGATCTTAAACATAATTTGCTTGTGACAGGTGAACAATTACTCCCTCTAAACCAACATAAAAAGCCTGGAAGTAATGGTCTTAGTCTTAAGGCCACTGTCTGAAGAAATGTTCAATTGTGCAAATTTTGGAGATTTCTTAAAATTCGGTCTTAACTTGAAAGCCAGATTTTTGTAGTTCTTAAAATTCACATAGTCTTAAAATTTAGGACGATTGTCTGAAGACTAAGACTGTGTGAGAACTTTTGGAGTTCAGGTACTTAGTTACACGGATATGTCTTTATCAATGTACCTTCTTTCAAACACAATTAGAACATAGAACATAGAGGGAGAGAACAGCTCTACCAATATGTTCCTTTGATACATAATGAATGTGTTGAAATCTTTAGTGCTGATCCATTAGCTATGATTACAGTATCAATATAGCTTAAACTGTCAGGAATGATGAATGAGCTTCGAGGCCTTGCCACATAGAAAATTAACTGGGATTGGTCTAAGCTGTTTCAGGATCCTACACCTTGTTGCCTTTTAGATGACCCTTTGATGTGATAAATTAATTGTAAGGCATGGGGATGAATGATGGTTTATCAGCAGTAAAAATCAATATGGACCTAAACACTGTCTAATTAAGTCTTGAGAGTCAGTGTTTTCTTTGGAAAGGGTGGACCCTCTAAATAGCACTTTACTCCGAACACTCTAATTAAATCAGATATCTGTTGCCTTTTCAGAATTATTCCTGCTGGGTTATGCAACTTGATTTTCCTTATGACATATCTATTGATAGAAAGTAAACTCTGAATTAGTATACAAAGACTGAACATGGACCTCAACTAAACTGTTGGTTCCTGGATTGCTCTTAAAGGACCCTTGAGTATATCTTCCTCCAGACGGTGTCCTGCACTGACTTCAGTCTGAACCTAAGTTCTCTTCTGTGTGGGAAATATCCCTTTTCCCGTCATGTGATGATGGCAAAATAGGTTATAAAATAAATCGCTTGATATTGCCTGTTTAAAGAATACTCGGTTCCCAATAGGTGCAGTGAATATCAGTGCCCAGTAAATTGGGCCTTATAGAAAGGGATGAGCTTCACGATATCTCTTACCTCTATCCTAAAGGTACCGTTAAAATCACAGTTATAGCTAATGAATCGGAGATGTAGATTATGATTGATTATCTATTAGTGAAACAAAGACCATAATGCTGTCTTGGAATCCCTTCTTTTGATTGGATTCAAATAAACTTTGTGGATAGGAAGGGGTTTGTAGGTGAACACTTGTTGCAATATTACTAGGAAATTTGAGCGAAAGGCTCTTAATCCGGATATTTCTGTTGATCAATGATAAAGTTCCTTTTTGTGTTTAGTATTAATAAGGAATTTTTTAGTAAGAAATCTGAGAGTGACTGGGGCTTCTCCTGATAACTGTACGTACACTGGATCACACTGATCCAAGGGAATTCCATTCCAATGCAAACACCTTCAGAAGCAGAGTTCCTGTGGGTTGACAAGAATTCTAAGGAATTCCATTAAGTAATACTTCAAATTAGACCCCATGGATTTCTTCACAAAATATGTACAGAGCTTCTACGAACACGAAGTTCCCTAGACCCCAAGTTCTAACTGCAGGAGTGGTCTGTTATAATATGATGGTTGGAGTCCATAAAATCCTAACTGACTTATAACAATATACTTTAGATGGTTTTACTGTTAATCTACTCAGCTTACTGGCTTGCTTCCTGCACGCCATCCTTTTCCTGCTTTAAAAAAAAGGTCAATGTCTGGGTTTGCAGGCAATAATGTCAGCAGTGACTCAATGACCCTAAGGTCAGTTTCTTTTTCATCCCAACTGGCTGACATATGAGAAGCAAGCGGCAAATACTCAGCTGAATGGGGACCACACTGCAATCATTTATAACTAAATTCAATTTATCTAAAAAGAAGAATGTTATAACGGGGCTGCACTTTATTCTCATTCTATCGAACATTTTGGTGTTAAAATGCAAGATTGGACACAATTGAAGAAACTTCTTCAATTCAGTCTTAATTTGGAAGCTGCCTCTTATTTAAAATTTTTGAATCCAGCCTCATGAATGATCCTAAAAGCTGCTACGATATAGGTTTGCTTTATTCAAATAAATCAATCCAATAGCAGCAAACAACAACAAATTACATTTATATCGGGCCATTCACATCGGAAGGACATCCCAAGGCATTCAACAGTTAAAGGTTTGCACCCGAGCTGAGGGTTGGAATCAACTTTAGTAGCATTAAACACGTTTATGGTTTGCTACTAAAACACATGAATGATATTTTAAAAACAAGGAATCAGTAGAAAAAATAAATTCAGCAAACTAATTTTATTTTTAAAAAGTTGCTGAAGTTAAAGCAATGGCAAAGATGCTAAACATTACCTGTTGCCTGGGAAAACATAGGTTTCTTTTGTGGATACATCAGTTACCTCAACTTTTCCCAGGAACCACCCACTTCCTACAAAAGAAAAGCATTAGCAATATTATCAATGTCAATTTGGCTCAAATAAATAGTCACCATACTTTGCAGTAAAATATCTCGAAGCACTTTGGGGCATTTTGATGACATTAAATCAGACTATATCAAATGCAAGGATATGATTAGATTTTTACAAGTACAGCAGATGTCTTAAGTAAAGATCAATTGCTTCATAACTGCACTTACTAGGATTTTGTTTACCATAGCCAATTTCAATTAGGTAGAGTTTACCAAGTGGATTTGTTTCAATTCTGAATTGGTCCACCTATGAAGTGATCAAAGAAATAGACGTCAAAGGTTGAACACTGGAATATGTACAATAATTTTCTTCTTCTGAATTTTAATTTCAACAACTTCGGAACATTCACTTACGTGCTTTTTTTTAAATGGTTCTTGAAAATCTATTGTTTCCGTCAAAGGAACTCTGTTAGAAACTGCTTCATCACCAAATAAGATAATGTACATATTGACATCCGTATTTGGCCCAAATTGATCTTCAGTGTAAACCTTGACCGCGTATTCAACGAGATGTTTTTTCAAATTTTCTGATTCTTCCCGTTCATCGTTAATTACACCAGACAACTCAAATATCCTTATAACTGGATTTTTGGGGATAACTAAAATGTTCCTAAAAGGAAAATGTATAATAAACAAGTATATTAATAGAATACAAATTAATTTACATTTATATAGTTATTTTCATGTGAAGAGGATGTCTCAAAGGCTTTGCACTGCTGGGGATGGGCAACCGTAGCTGGGGGTAGGAGCTGAAGGAGGTGGGAAATATGACTGAAAACGCAGTCAAAGAGGTATATCTTGGATGTTTCATACTCATGGCTATGTGGCAATATCAAACTGGTTTGGATCACAATTCTCCTCCTTCCACCTTTGGCTTGGATGCCCAGCCAGCTGTGTTAAGTGCTTTGATACATGGCATTGAAGACACTATATTTGGCCACAAAAAATACACACAGTCACACTATATCAAGTGTGAAGATTATTATTATATAAATATAATTGTATTGTATTGTATTGTATTGTATTACAGGAAAACATTGTGTGCATCACAAGTTTAATTAAATTGTTGAATTATTTTGTAAAGCAAAGCTTAAATCTAAGTATATAAAGTATGGAATAGCAACATTGTCATGATTGTGGATTATTATCAGAGCACATTGGTAAGAATGAACAATGATTAGACAGGCTAGGACACTTCTGTCTTAAAAGGAGATGTCTCAGAGACAAACTTATACAGATTTATAACATTGTAAATGAGATTGTAAAAGCAAACCCAGAACAATACTTTAAGTTGCACTGAGACAGTAGATGCCAGTCAAAACACAAAAGGTTGTACTCACTCATTGAGAGCAAACACAAAACGTTTCTTTGGTTGAGTAGCTTCACTGACGTAGACCTCATTTACATGAAATTTGTCATCTTAAAAACAAACATATTTCCGTCATTCTTAATTCAATCCAATGTTAAATTCATTTCTTGCATGTATGGATATTTCATGCTCATGACCTCTCGACAATTACTAACTGGTTTGAATCACAATTCCCCTCCCCTTTGAATCCATCTCTAACTCGTTCAATGTTATAAAGATCACTGGGAATACAATTTTGGCCTCAATATTTTTTAACTGAAGTGAACTTGTGTTCCAGGGTTGCATCCATCCAGCCAACAAACAATCCATTGCCGGAATAAATAGTAGCAACTCCAGCTACTTTTTTTCATAATGCTGGTAAGGAAAAGTTTGAATCTGATTCAAATGGTGAATCCTTATTGCATTTGCTTTCCTTCTATCTCATGACACTGACAATACTTACTTTTTATGCCATTGGCAGACAGCTCGAGTTTGTTCATCTTTCCCAGCTGCACAGCAAAAATTTGAAACACATAGAACTGTAGAAAAGAACACATAGCATTTTCAAGGCTTCAGCATTTTAAGGATGTAGAATTGAGGGAACAGAAATAGGCCAATCAGCCTGTTGAGTCCCACACTTTACTTACTGTACAGTTAAATTGCAATCATGGTAACTACCTTAACTGCTTAACTGTTCCTGTTATTATGGCCTTCTGGATCAATGTATTCCACATTCTTACAACGTTTGTACTATTAAACGGGTATCTCTAATTTCAAGTCTATTTACCCCTTTCCTGGATCTCTCTACTAGATTTTCCCTTATTTCAATTCCATTTATTATTGTAAACATTCGGTCAGACCAATTTCCTCATCTCTAAGGAATATGACCCAAGTTTACTTAAGAGTATTCAGACCAGACTGAGTGTTCCATGCATGCCACCTGTACAGGAAAGTTCCTGTGTTTGGAATGGAAGATTCACTCTCTATCCAGAAAGATGCACCAGAGGGAAGCTGAGGTAATTCTGGAGAGTATTCCCACAGATTGGCAAGAGCCATGGATTGGGATCCCCAGAGTGTCCTTAAATGTATGATTATCCACCATTGATAATGATTTATTAATCATATGAACAACAGGCAGTGCCGATTGTATAATGAACAGATCTACAGCTATGGACCAGGAATTTGCTGGTTTGAATCCTGGTCCATGCTGAATTTGCTGGGCTCAGCCATAGATTAAATTGGGCTCAAACATCACCTTGACTTTCTTCTCAGGGTTAGCAAAGGGACAACCAGTTAGGGTTCCTGGTCCTTATCCTTTTCCTCGTGGTGAAGGTGAATGCCAGCCGGGTGGAGAGAGATCAGGCTCTGTTGTGATGCTGTTGGCAGTCAAGTAGCTTGCCAACACTTACTGCCAAGGCTGTTCACCCATAAATCCTTGTCATTGGGAGTAGCTCCCATAGAATCACATCCCACAACCAGCTCCCATAGAATCACACCCCAGAAAGAGGAGGCCAGGTAAGAGCAGATAAGCTTATGTGGGAAGAAAATCAATGAAGAAAGATAATTGGACACTCTAAATTGCATGAAAATTAAAAAAGAAATATGGAATTAACAGCCACTTATTAATTACTTGAAGAGGCAAAGCTAAAATGTATCATGGACAGAACCAATACAACAGCAACACAACAACAACAAAATTACATTTATAGAGCGCCTTTCACGTCGGTAAGACGTCCCAAAGCACAACAGTCAGGTGTCGGGGCCCGAGCATGGGGGAGGGGTGGTGTAGGGGTAAGGGAAGGCAGAGAGGTGGGAGGGTGACCAAAGGCACGGTTGAAGAAAAGGGTCTTGAGACCGGCCTTGAAGGAGGCAAGGGAGGAAGAGAAGCAAAGGGATTGTGGGATGGAGTTCCAGAGTGTGAGGGCAAAGAGACTGAAAGCTCGGCCACTGATGGTAGAGCGGGTCGGGCGGGAGACGTGGAGCAGGCCGGAGCTCGCTGAACGTAGGGAGTGGGCAGCTTGGTAGGGAGTCAGCAGGTCAGAGAGGTAGGAGGGGCAAGGCCATGAATGGCCTTAAAGGTGAGGACGAGGATTTTGAACTCGATCCTCTGGGGAATGGGGAACCAATGGAGTCGGGCGAGGGTGGGAGTGATGGGAGTCATGGAGCCTAGTGCGCGAGAGTACACGAGCTGCAGAGTTTTGGATGATCTGCAGCTTGTGAAGGAAAGAGTTGGGAAGGCCGATGAGGAGAGAGTTCCTGTACTCAAGCCTTGACAAATGTGACAAATGCGTGGGTGAGGGTTTCGGCAGCCTGAGGGTGAGGCAGTGGCAGAGTCTGGCAATGTTGCGGAGGTGGTGGTAGGCAGTACCAGTCATGGCGCAGATGTGGGGAAGAAAGGACAGTTCAGGGTCAAACAAGACACCAGGTTCCTGACTGGCTTAGTGAGGTTGAGTGTGCAGCCGTGGATGCTGATGCTGCCAGTGCCCGAGGTGCGGAGGCCCTGGCGCGAGCCAATCAGGAGGGCCTCAGTCTTGCTGACGTTGAGTTGGAGAAAGTTGTCCCTCATCCAGGACGTGATGTCAGACAGGCAGTTGGTCAGGACGTCAGTAGTCCTGGAGTTCAGGATAGAGGCAGAGAGGTAGAGTTGGGTGTCATCTGCATACATGTGGAAATTTACCCCATGTCTGTGGATGATGTCACCAAGGGGGAGCATGTAGAGGGTGAAGAGGAGGGGACCGAGGACAGAGCCCTGAGGAACACCGCATGAGACAGTGCAGGGGCTGGAAGAGAAGCCGTTTGCCGCGACGAAGTGGAGGCGGAGTGAAAGGTAGGACCTGAATCAGTCAAGGACAGAACCTTGAAGGTTGAGGTGGGAGGAGAAGGGGTGGAGGAGGATTGTTTGGTCCATGGTATCAAAGGCAGTGGAGTAGTCGAGGAAAACGAGGAGGCAGAGGGAGCCCTGGTCACACATGGTCAGGATGTCGTTTGTGACTTTGACCAGTGCAGTTTCCGTGCTGTGGGAGGGGTTCATGGAGGGAGTGAGAGGAGAGGAAAGAGCGAAGCTGGGAGGCAATGGCTCTCTCAGGGACTTTGGATAGGAAGGGGAGACTTGAGATGGGCCGGTAGCTAGATAGCTGTGATGGGTCGAGGGAAGGTTTCTTCAAGGTGAGGGTGATAGTGGCTGTTTTGAGGGGGGAAGGAACAGTGCCAGATGACAGAGAGAGGTTAATGATGTCGGTGAGTAGTAGGGCAAAGAGGTGGAGCCGGGATTTAAGGAGAAGGGTGGGGATGGGGTCCAGGGAGCAGGTGGCGGGCTTCATGGAGGTTACTGTGTTGAAGACAGAGAAGTTGTGTAATTTTCTTTTCAAAGTACATTCTTTCCCTGTGAGTACCTTTCTGTCTTCAGATGCTGCTTGTTTCCCAATAGGTTTAAGAAGGTTTCTTTCTCCAGTGTCACCATTCTCCCCATACAAACACAAACTAACAACAATAGGGGGATCCTTATCCAAAAAGTCATCGCAGTACATCTTCAAATTATATGTCACAACTGCAAAGACACATTTTTAAAGAATTAACAATGTAACATCATTCAAACCAAATAGTGTAATACAAAGTGTGGATCAATTTAATTTTGTTTGTTAATCATAATAATGATAATCCTTGCATTTGGTACAGCGCCTTTTGAATTCATTGAGATGTATAAAAGTGCTTCACAGGATTTTACTGTGAAGTGCAGTGACTTTGTATTTGTAAGCAAATATAGCAGCCACAGTAATGTCCCACAAACAGCATGAAGTGAATTATTAATTTTATTTGGGGAATTATTGGCCAGGACACCAGGAGAAACTCCCTTCTCTTCTTGAGTAGAGATATTGGATCTTTAACATTGAGGCAGATTAACATCTCATTTGAAGATAGCCCCTACGACAATGCAGTGCACCCCTAGCACTGACTGGAGTGATAGCCTAGACTTTGAGTTCTATATAATATATATAATATATATATATATGCAGTTGACAACCAGGCAACTGGATATACTCCGCTCTAATTCTAACCAAAGTTGATAAGCATTAAATGTGGTATTATACCTGTCATGAAAAGTTACATTTTTGCTTCTGAAGACTATCTGCAGGCGTGAAACCCTCTCTCTATGAACTACAACAACAAAATTACATTTATATAGCACCTTTCATGTCGGGAGGACGTCCCAAGGTGCTGAAAATTCAGTACAACAGTCATGCCCAGAGGTGGGAGAGCCAAGATCATAAGTGCTGTCACCTTGACTTTCTGCTTAGAGGCACCGTTTGTGTTCCCGATGCCAGAGCTGACATCTGAGTGCCGATTCACAGACTAATTCACTGGCTGAGGTAAACCATGGCTCATGGAGCTGCATTAAAATGCTGCAATCAGCAATTTGGAACACAATGGGGATCATTAAAATCTTCAGCCACAATTGTGCAGATGTCTGGGGTTAATTCACATCTGCCTCCAGTCTTTAGGTATAGATGTGAACTGGGAAAATGCAATACTTTATAACAAATTCAATAACGTTTAATGATTAGTGATTTTTTAATATATATAACTAACCAAACCCTACACTATTACCTCCCCTCATTCCACCCACAGAACGAAAAGCTAGGGTCCAATGCCGATCCCTGGAGACTTAATGCTGTTCATAACATCTATCTTACAACAATATCTTTATCCTGGCCAACTTTTATTTGTAACTGAATGGAAAATCATGACTGAAGTGATATAGTAAGTTATACACCATAGCATTATTTGTTCCACTTGTAAAAGCAGCCTCATTTAATTCCCATTGGAGCAGGTAATTGCTCTCTTATGCAGAACAACAGGACAAGAAGAAATGCTAGGAGTACTGAAAAACTTGCAGAACATATACTAGGGTATAATTGGGTAAATTCCATTGCCTAACGCAAAATTCAACTAGTGAGGCTAAGTTCTACAATGGACAGAGTAAAAATATTATGGAACTCAAGTCCTAGTGTTGAACTCAAATCTATCCAAGAGTGCTAACAATTGAGCTAAATTGATATAATGAGGATGCAACACAACAGACAGCTTCATGGAAGCCTGAGAATTTGTTAACTCTTGTGATACAGGCCCAAATCATTAATTAGCTTTACAAGATGTACCTCTTTGATAATGCGTTTGATCATTATTCCCTCCACTGTCTTCAGTTCCACCCCCAAACCGCCAGAGTAAAGTGCTATTGAGATGACCTCCCGACACTATATAAATGTGTTTTACAATGTGTAATAAATCATGTTATTACCATTGTAAGCTTGTTGACCAAATGTTATCATACTTTATATCATTTATTCCCAGCACTGCTTTCTTCCACCTCGGCCACATTGTCCATCTCCAACAATACCTAACCCCAAAAGCTGTCGAATCCCTTGTCCATGTCTTTGCCACCTCTCGGCTGGACTACTCTAACGTCCTCCTCGCCGGACTCCCCTCCTCCACTATTCACAAAATTCAGCTCATTCAAAACTCCGCCGACTGCATTCTCACCCTCACCAAACTTTGTACCTCGATTACTCAAGTCCTTGTCAAACCCCACTGCCTCCCTGTTACAGAGCAGTTGACTTCAAGATTCTCACTCTAGTGTTTAAATCCCTCCATTCCTTGGCACCGCCCAATCTCTCTCGCCTCCTCTCTTCCCACAGCAGTACCTTCAGCCTTCAGCCACTACACCCCAAAACTTTGGAACTCCCTCCCTCAACCCCTTCACCTCGCCCCCTCCTTCAAACGCGCTACTGTCACCTTCCCCCTCCCACTGGCTCGTCCTTGGGTTCTGCCATTGTTAAGCGCTCTAAGACGCTGCCCAGTGTGGAGGGTGCTATATAAGTGCAAGTTGTTGTTATTATTTATGATATGAAATCACATTCATAAAATAGAATTATTGAGATGGTCCGTTATAATAAAAAAAACTTACATTTGATATGGAGCTTTATCACGTCAAAACATCTCAAAGCCCTTCAGACTAATGACTGTTAAATCTAGTGACTATGTACAGTATTTGTAGGTGAAAATGGTAACATTACGAGCCTGACGTTCCATCTGGTCTTTGCCTGTAAGACTGTTACTTGTCTTAAAATTTAAGATGACACAGAATTGTGGAAAATTCTTAAATTCGGCTTGGGAGCTGGATTTTCGCATTTGTTAAAAAGAGCCGTCTTCTAACATAAGACTGAATTTAAGAGAGTTAGGAAAGAACGAGTGGATTACAGAAATAGTCAGGCTGAGACTCAGTGAAATTTGGGGCCTCAGGAGTTACAAAGGAGTGGTTTACAATGATATTGTAAGTACATTATATTACTGGCATAACCACAGTCTTGTATAATCTGCAGGATATAATTTTATACGCACCACTCAAAGCTGTTTTTTGTGGCCACTCTACAGGGAACTCAACCCATCTGTCGCCGTTAGAACTAACAGGAAGTGTCTCATTAACAGAGTAGTTAAATGCAGCCTTTGTTATCACATTCTGCATCTTGAAATAGCGAAGTTTTATTTGAGATATATTATCCGATGGATTTGCAAGTCCTAGTCGAATCTTCCAGGGTTTACCAATATCATCTGGTACGTTTACCTAAAATATGAAAGGCAGGTAGTTGTGTTAACGTACTGTTCCATTATTGTTACAAGATGTAAAGATGACCTGAATCAGCTGAAAAGCTGATTTGAAAAGCTAGAGATCAGGAATGTGGCTATCGTATTGCAATTTCTATTGGACAACTCTGAATTAGACCAATAAATAGTCATTCTTGCCCACACAGATGCATTCACTTTGACATATCATGAAGCATTTTCAATCTCTTTTATAATATGTGCTGCTCAAATCATTTGTATTTGCAGTATTGTTTTTCTTATCTTGACTTTGCTAGTTTTGCTAACTTAAGACATCCTCCTGAAAGATGCTATATAAATGTAAATTGTATTGTATTATCACCAGATTTTATTTTTATGCTGATCGTGACATCAAAAATAACCTTTTCAGACCTCATTGTGATATCAATAATATATGCTTATGTGTCATAAATTCATACACCATTTCCTTGATCCCAGACTCAACCCCAGCCACACAGAACAATAAGTTTAATTATACTGTGGTGAAACAACTCAAAACCAGGGAAATGGACAAGAGAGATATGCACCTGAACACACTCAGCAAACATTCATTTTAGAAAAGGAAAACCAAAAGTTGTCAGAAAATCAATGCATCAAGATAATCAGTGGCCATGGGATTTTGAGCTGTGGTATTTCTTAACAGGGTTTTTTAATAAGGAAAACCTTTAGAACGCTCATTAACATTTGGGAACTTTCTTCCAAAAACTCTGCTTCGCACTGGAACTTCAAAGGGCAGTGTAACATACTTCACACTGGATCCATGGGAACTCCACTCTGATGCAAGCTACTTCCTGAGAAGCATTCCCAAAAGTTGGTGGGAATTCAACAAAATTCCTTGTTAAAAAATTGCATTTAAAAATATTGCTCACCCTTCATGTGAGCCGTTTTATTTTAAAAAGCATCTTTATGACATTAATAACTTGTCAAGGGAACATTATTTGTGTAAATAACCTATAACGTGTTATCTTCAAAAGCTTCTCATGTTATCCACAAACTTTGAAGTGAGATTAAGGACAGTGAATAGACATCTTTATGGTTTTGCATTTGTTCTTTAATTTGTTACTTCTATGGAACTATTTCTAAAAGCAGAAGAAAAGCAGCACTCTAGCTTCAGCTCACTACATCAATGGATTTATTAATATTATGAAAACATAAAATGGTGCTATTTATCAGCAACCTGATAGAGGGGTTTAAAATTATGTAAGGATTTGATAAGGTGAATATTAATGGGCTGTGGGTGAAAGCTGTGGTTGAAGCAGAAAGCAAACTATTCAAGAAGGAATTGCATACATAGGGAAGGGAATACAGGGATATAACTGAGGAGATTAGGAGAGGCTCATGTGAACTATAAAAAGGAGCACGGACTAGTTGGGCTGAATGGCCTGTTTCCATGCTGTGCAGTCTATGCATTTCTATATAATTGAGACTCACCTCAAACGTTACATTTTGCTCACAATCAGATGAGGTAGAAGTCAACGCAATAGGTTTAGAATGTTTCGCTGCTCCATATATGACCATTTCCAATTCAACTGTGTACATTACTGCTGGAGGTTCTTCACTGCAAACTTTTATAAGTAACACATTCCATTTGCCACCTGTGCCAAGAGCAGTTATCCCCAAATTAACAGCGACAGGTCATCAGCATTTCACAGCAAAATGAATTGATTTGGTACTGATTTAATTCATTTACCTTTCTTAATTTGAGGCCATTCTGGACAAGGCATAATGTCTTTTACCTTCTGGTAGTCTAAACAAAACAAGTACATTTTAATTGTTAGTTCGTTCTGTTAAAACAGTGTCGTTTTTTAAAGAATCTCAGCATCAGTGTGTATTTAACGTATGCAGTTGGAGCTAAAAATGGCACAAGATATATTTAGTAAATAGAAATAAAGCTCTTCTAATGCTCTTCAGTAAAAAAAAGTACAGCAATATAAAAATGTAGCAGCCAATTCAAAATGAGCAGCAATAATTTGATAAAATGTACTAAAATTAGTATTTAAAGGTTAAGGATGGCAATATAAAACTGGAGAACACATTTGACAGATTGTAAAAGGGTACAGTTATATAAGTAGAAAGCATCAACGTTTAAGGAAAACGCAATGCATACCTGAGGGAATATGGAATAGATTGAGAGGGGATTAGGATTGGTGCAAGCTCAGGTGGCGTATAAACACCATCACTGAGTAATTGGGCCAAGAGGAGGTTCTTGAGACATGCCTTGAAGGAGGCAAGGGAGAGAGCGAGGCAAAAGGAATATGGGATTTATATATGAGTATAATATTTTATTCAACATGATTCAGGGAAACACTCAAAGGATCATTTGGGGGAGAATGAATAGATAGTTTACTTTATATAGAGGGTATTTAGCATGTGTTAACAGTTTGTCCAGAGAGGAAGTGGAGGTGAATTGAGTGATCAGTTTCAAGAGGGAATTCAATAAAAATGTTGATGCTGAAGGGGACTGAGAGTTATGTAAATAACAGATTATAAATTTACTAACCTTTACATTTGAAGGTTCTTAATGTTCCACCACGTTCAGTTATTGCTTCTGTGGTGTCTTGAGATTCAAATACAGCTTCTTCTCTACTATCCACTCCATCCCTCACAACAATCTGCTTAGGATAGATGTCTGTATGTTTTATCTCAATGTACAATTCTTGTAGCTGTCCAACATTTATGGCCTGAAAGCGATACATGCTGACCTGCGAAATGTAACATGAATTGAACAAAGTAAACACAGGAAACATAAGTCACAGCAATGAAGTGCTGGGCTTATGGATTCAAGACCCATTGCTGACCATCTTAATAGTTGTGATACAAAATAGGTGTCAGGTGTTAGCCTGGCTCAGTTGGTATCACTCATGGTTGTTGTTATTGTTGGCGGTTTGTGGGAACATTTTATATATCACATTTCATGTCTGGAGGACATCTCAATGGACTTTATAGGATTTGCTATAAAGTGTACTGACTGTACATTTTTGCGCAGCCAATATGCACATATCAATGTCCCACAAACAGCCAGGAAGTGAATGATCAATTTTATTTGAGGGATTGATGTCCAGGACACCAGGAGAAACTCCTTTCTCTTTATCAATGGTGCAGTGGGATCTTAAAACTTCCAAATGAACAGCTAGATGGGGCCTCAGTTTAATGTTTCATGTGAAGGATGGCACCTCCAACAATGCATCGCTTGCCTAAGATTGTATTGGACTGCTAGACTAGACTGTGCCACCCACCACAGTCAAGAGGCCTGCTGTCACACACTGCCAAGGCTCAAAATGAACAATATGTTAATACTATTTTTCTTACAGCAATAAATATTCTTACCAAGGCTTTCTTCATTTCACTTGATTGTTTGGTAAGTTTTAATTTGCCTGTAACTCCCAATGATCCTTTTAAAGTAACATACATGCTTGGATTTGTTTTGTGTTGGGATTTTGTGGTGACAAAGAAAATGTAGTCTTTCACTGAAAAAATAGAATTGCACTTTCAATTGTTGCTTGGACATCTTAGATAAGAGATTAACATCATATCAAATTTAAGTCTCGATCTTTCTTCATAAATTCATGTATTAGAAGCAATTCATTAAATATAATTGCATTAAGTGTATAAATTCAATAAAATAAAGGTAAACATAAGTAATTTGATAAACAATTCATTGACATATGCATAAGAGTTTTCAAACCTAAGAGAAAATCCGTCTTGCTGTGGATTATAGGGCGTTCAGCCACCTCCTCACTAAATAAATTGCAGTAAAACAAAATCTCTAAAATCGCTTTTGTGTCTTGGTGTTGAAGCTCAATCTACAGATTGCAAGTAAAGGAAATTATTTGTAAGTCGGGAGTGGGGGAAATTGAAAGAGAATCAACTATGAAAAAGGCAATCCAAACTGGTGGAGTTACAGTAATGTTTTGGAAGAGTAATAAGGGCATTTTGTTCCAGAACCATCTCTATTTCATTACCTTCTCACAATACCAACTCTCGTCAGTCGTGCCTTCATCCATCTGCAGCCTCAATTTGGTGATGGATCCTAATTCCTCTCCTATGTGCACTGAAGTTTGGTGTGTATAATCTCTCTTTAGAAACCCACTTAGAAGATATATGGGTGGACATTCACCATCCTGGCAGCACACTGTCAATGTCGCATTTAGAGTTGTGTTGTTGTTGCCTTTGTTACTGGTGATAACAAAGATATTCCAAGTCCCTGCTACATAGACAAAGATATTTATGCGGAGTCATTGATAAGTTACTCAGTATTACAAAACAATATTATAATAATAATAATCCTTGCATTTAATACTGCGCCTTATCACATCATCGAGAGGTCTCAAAGTTGTGTCCATCAATCTCCTAATAAGTTTGTTGGTTGTCATGTCTGTAGGCAAAAGTGTCTCCCAGGTTTGCCTACAAATACACAGTTACTGCACTTCACAGTAAAATCCTGTGACATATTGTCGATGTGATAAGGCGATTTATCCAATGCATGGTATTAGACCCAAAAATTGTTGTTAGACCTATAAATTGCTTTATCAAATGTAAGGATTATTATTGTTATGTTATTACAGTTTAAATCACTCTGTATAGGTATTTCTAAATGTTTTTTAGTGATTGGTCAGCCAAAACAATAACACTGCCACGTTACACATAAATGGAAGTTACTTTTCTTAGTATCTTTGAACTTCCTAAAATAGCTACTTTTGTAGCTACTTTTGCAGAGTCCTGTAGCTTAGTGGTTAGAGCACTCGCCTCGCAAGCGAGAGAACCTGGGTTTGATTCCCAGGCAGGCTGACATGTTGGGCAAGTTTCCTTACTCCACGCGCTTCTGTTTACCTAGCAGTAACTAGGAAACCTGGCTGTTAGTTGATTGGCGGATCGCTGTTCTGGGGGTAATAATCCCTTGAAAAAAAAGATAAATAAATAATAATAATTTGGTCACTCAATCTATGACTGTTTGTGAGACATCGCTGTGCGCAACTGGCTGCTGCGTTTCGCCCCCAAATACAGTCAATTCATTTTACAGTATATTCTGTGAAGTGCTTTGAGACATGTCAAAGATGTGATAAGTCGTTATATCAAAAGCAAGGATTATTATTATCTTTGCAGGAGGTTGATATTTTGTTCACTTGGTATTTTGTCAAGCCATTTCTGAACAGTCTTATTAGCAGTCCCAGTTACACCAATGATCATAGGAACTATGTTTGTTTTATGTTGCCACGTTCGTCTGCATTCAATTTGCAGATCGATATATTTCCTGATCTTCTCTAGTCCTTTATTTCCTATGTAATATTCACTTGGGATAGCTTCATCAATAATACTGATCTAATTGGATCTTGATACTTCTTAAGCCTTGCAGAAAAACAACTTGCAAATTAAGACTGGATTACTGAATTTTCAACAATTCATAAATTTTAAGTGATTTTACAGGCTAAGGTTAAGTGGAATGAATCTCATTGCTGAGTTTGGCCAGCGGTGTAAAACAGCCCATCACACTTGAAGCAGTGGGTCACTTGCAAACTAGCAAAGATTGAAAGAAGACCACCGTTTCTTCTTTGGAATACAATGTCATGTTTTCAGGCTTTTTAACAGTGGGCACCCATCTACTAACCTGCTGGCTAGGCTCTCTGACAATTTTATCATAGGTGTGACAGTAAAGAAAAGCGTCCTGGAATCTTAGTATATCACAAGATGCTTTTCTTTAAGAACATGAGATCTTTATTTCTTCCCCCACCCCTTCTAATGTTACTTTGCTAATGCTCTGAATGCCTGCGTGGGTTTTTCCTGGAGTCTATATCTGGAATTCTTAAACCAGGAATTCAGCCATTGTTAAGGGAGGAGAAATCAGACCTGTAAATCAGACTCTATAGCATTGTGCATCGAAGCTTCAAAATGCTTTATAAACACACTACCTCCACACTGTCCCTTAGGATCAAAATCTGTCACTTCTAATGTAGAAAGCAAGAGCTTTACCACCACATCAGACAGCTGTATCCTTACCAGGAAAGATATGTATATTTTTAACCCATATGAGATACACTTGTTCAAAAAATGTTGGATTTTCTCCACAGCTTGTAAGAAAATTAAGTGAATTAATAGCAACATGGTTTATTCTACTCAGGAATCAAATGTTTTGGGTGAGGCAGCAGTTGAAGATATTTGGGTTAGAATGAACTTTCAAAAAAAGATATTGATGTGATATGAAGTAACAAATCATAATATGTGTCAGTCTGGCTCAGTTGGTAGATTTTCTCGGAGTAAAAGGTTGTGAGTTCAAGCTTCACTTTGAACATGTCAGCTAGTTCCTAGGGAACGTAATGACATATTATTATTATTAATAATAATATTCCTTGCACTTGTACTTCCAGCTAATGGATAAGTTCCCATTTTCACAAATCAGATTCTTACTTAAAGATCCCATTACAAATCTCATATTTTAGACCCATTAAGCTGAGAAGGATGGGGGAGGGGGTAATTTTAATCGTAATGTTTAATTTGGAGGGTTGCAGCAATCTTGAAACAAAACAGTAATGAATTCAGAATAGTAATAAAATGAAACCTATTTCTGAAATCAACAGGCAACGTGACAAAACGTAGCCTGCATTTTGAGTATCTACTCCAGTTATTGAAAAAAATATATTTCAAATACAAAGGCATGGTGAACTCATCGTACCCTGAAGACTTGCTATCATCTTGTCAGTTTTATTGCTGACTTTTCCAACGAGGTTTAACTGTTTCTTTGTATCTTTGCTATCAACTTCGCTGTCAAGCCACTGTTGGCATGGAAACACGTAGACATTGGGCACGCCATTCTCTGTTGGTTCTTCTAGATAGATCATTTCCAAATACCAGCCAGCTCCATATCCCAAACTGTCGTGTCCAATATGTATCTTTTCTGGAATACTCAAGTCTATGGCTCGGAGACTAAAGACATTAATCTAATAAAAACAATGTATTAGCCAAGAATTATAACGAAATAGAAATAAAATGAATGGAAGTCATTAGAAAAAGATCTAAATCTATGATATTTCACTGGTAATCGTAGTATTAGGAGCCACAAACACATGTATAAACCGAAGAGTATTGTAACAGATTAATGTCTTTTCCGATGAAGTTCATCTTCTATCTGATTCTGATCAAAACTTGGAGTTCGACATCCTGAAATCACCATTCTCGCTCTTGCCTGAAACCTCAGATGTATCAATTTTCTTTTGTCGATCCCAAAAATTATACATGGTATACTTAAGTGTGATCCTGACAGTGAACTATGCACAATTAGAATGGCTTCTTTTGGAATATGGTCATGAGAAACTATAATAAATGTTGTTAACAAAGTTCTCACGTGTCTCACATTGCTTGTCAGGCAGATGAAAATGCAAATGCTAAAATACAAGGAATATAAGATCTCCAGATCTTGTACAACAACAACTTGCACTTATATAACAACTTCCATGCAGGGTAGCGTCTCAGAGCATTTAACAGTGGTGGAGCCTGACTCTGAGCCAGGGGGATTGGGGAGAGTTGGCCATAAGCACGATCGAAGAGGACAGATTTCAGATGGGACTTGAAAAAGGGGAGAGAGGGGGCAAGGCAGAGGGATTTAGGGAGAGGGTTCCAAAGTTTTGGGGCATAGTGGCTGAAAGTGCGACCTCCAATGGTGGGGCGGAGGGTGCGAGCAACGAGCAGGAGGCTGGTGCCAGTTGAGCGGAGGCGCCGGGTGGTGGATTGGGGAGTGAGCAGGTCAGAGAGGTAGGGAGGTGCCAGGGAGTGAATGGATTTGAACACAAATCCATTATAGTGTGCTCACAATGGAGTCTAATTTGAAGTGATCATAGAATTGTAGAAATTTTCAGCACAGAAGGAAGCCATTTGACTCCTCAATGATGTTACCAGGGATAAGTGGTTATGGCTAATTAAAATAAAAGGTTGGATAGGTTGGAGCTTTTCTCTCTAGAGATGAAATGTTTTAGAAGGGATTTGAGAGGGAGAGGTGCTTAAATTTGTGAAAGGTTAAGGATAGGGCTGATATTGATCTGTTTCTATTTGTTGTTGTCAAAATGACAGAGCATAAATATAAGATTAGTAACAGATCTAAAAGGGAGCATAGGAGGAACTTCTTTACACAGAGGGTGGTGAAAATGTGGAACTCACAGCTTTGGTTGAAGTAAAAAAACATCAATGTATTTAAGAGATAATATGATCCATACACATGGGAGAAGGGAATAGAGGGGTATACGAGAGGGAAATGTGCAGTATGAACACCATCACGGGTTAGGTGGTGGCCCAAATGGTCTATTTTTGTACTGTATCATCCTCTGGAAACAATAAAGACCAGAAGGTACATTTCTACTGTGAGACTCAAGCTGCATACGAACTGCTTGTGTCACACAACTGTTCAGTAGCTGCAACTTTATTGCAGGTAACTGTAAACACTATACTAACCTGTCCTTTATCAAACAAAGTTGGAACATCATTATATTGGAGTTTCCTTTTGCTGGTGTCTCCATTTTCACCATATATTGTGATATATATAGGGGCATCGGTACCTGCTGCAAGAAGATTCCCTGTCCATATGTATAGTGTATAGTACACATCTGCAAGAAGCAGAAACATTAGGAGGTTATAGTTTTTAACAATACATTGAGAACTAGGGGAGGTTACAATCACAGTACAGTATTAGGTCTGGTCCAAAGTTTGGGAAATTTATAGATCGTGATGGATGAGAACACTTCTGCTCATCTGTAAATTGACCGAACTTTGGGAGGATCATCCCTATTGTAAATTAAGGAAGTAATTGTAATGACCATTATTTAAAACATGTTTTATGTCTGATAGGATTCCTTTGCTCTCTTCAAATCAATATCATTTAAGCAAAATGAATGATACTAGTCATAGCAATGCATTCTTAATATTTGCTTAAAACATAACATAAATCAATTTTCAAATGAAAGTTCTGTACATATTATTCTAACTTATGAAAAAAACCTTTAATATGAATGGTGCACTAATTCTGACAACTCGACCTCCATGGTGATAATTGATGATACTATTCTAATTGGTAACAGGTTGAAATAAAGAGAATTACAAAGAGATTGAGCGCCCTGCTGCTGTTATTGTTCACAGGCTTCTGCTAATTATATAGACGACAAACATATATACCCTGATAGAAACATAAAAATGTTGGATACAGACATGCTTACATAATATCGACATAAATATATTAACTATTGCATTCTGAGGAAATACACTGTATTAGACAATATAGTTGCATTAGCCCGTACTGTTAAGCTATTTAGAACATCCTGCAGACATGAAAGGTGCTATATAATGTAAAATATTGTATTGGATGTAATAGATGAATTGAGTTTATTATACTGTAATGGATAAAATAGTTCTGTTAGACTGCAATGGATCAAATAGATTGCAATATGTGTATCAGATTGTAGCAGATGAAATTGGTGGATTAGATTGCAACAGAAGGAATAAGTGGTTTAGACTGTAATGAATAAAATAGGTGGATTAGCCCATGATACGTGGAATAAGTAGATTAGGTGTATTGGATGTTTTATGAAATACATTTTAGAATCCTTACTAGTGCTTAGATGACTTTATGTATTTGATTTACCTTGCAGTGGTTGCTTGTGTGGTGTAATAGCTGCCAGCTCCGTCACGGTTTCATTTGCGTTTTGTTCAAACAACCAGCGATCTCTGATGGAAAATCCAAGCTCCTGGTTTGTGTCCATGTGCTTCATACGTAACTGAGAGAGAAGGAATTTTGCGAAGTATATTTGTACTTTTGTAGCTACTGAAAATTAACCGGTGTTTTGAATGTTTCCTTTTATTAAAGTGACAATAATAATTGTCGCCTAATAATAATACCTCCAAAAAAAAAATAATTTGGTCATTTTTAATCCACGACTGTTTGTGGGACACTGCTGTGCGCAATTGGCTGTCGCGTTTCGCCCATAAATATACAGTCAATTCACTTTACAGTATATTCTGTGAAGTGCTTTGAGACATCTAGAAGACGTGAAAAGCGCTATCTCAAATGCAAGGATTATTATTATTATGATAATATTTTTGAAAAAAAGACTATTTTTCCTAAAATCGCCCACCTTTAAGAGTTTTAATCCCATGGTCATGGTGGAAAATTCCAATACCAAGGAAACCTTTATTATTTCACCAATATCTTCAAGTGATATCTAGAAAAGAAGCAAATGGTAAATATGAATGAGAACAGAACATATTTATACACAAATATATTCATCAACAAAACTGCAGTCGCAATAATTTACCATGAAGCATGAGGAAAGGAAGTAAAACTACAGGAATAGTTAAAGGAACACCTGTCATGTGATCTTCCTTGCTGCGATTTATATTTTTTCTCCTTTCAATATCACGTCTAAATGTATTTTAACCAGATGCAATCTTGGGTACAGTGAAAGGCATGATAAGTTGCATAGTTCCAGTTGGAAAAGCCTAAAATACCTCTTGTAAGGTTATCCCATCTTGTAGTCCCTCCTTGTCCAAATTTACATGCATTAGCTACTTATCTCATGGCGGTTTGTTGGACATTGCTGGTACAAATTAACTGCACAATATTCCTTACACAACATTCACTTCATTTTCAGTTAATCTCATTTTCAAAAGTACTTTGAGATGTTTCTTCTACATGAAAGGTGCCAATATATGTAAGTTATGATGATAGTATGCTTTTTCCATCAGCTAACAACTTGACTTTTCACATAAACCTTACATTTATTTCAATAAATGTAATAGATAACATTTCTACATAAACAATAGACCTTAATAAAGACAATAATGGACACGTTAAGTAACTAGGTGTTATTTATATTATTTTACATGTTTCTGATTTCCCTGGATTTTTTTTTGACTCAGTAAATTGGTCTTGTTCACGCTGGAAAAGAGAAGATTGAGAAGCGGCATGATTGCTGTCTTTAAGATTCCAAAGGGGTAAGACAATATAGATAATGACAGGCTGCTTCAACGTGTCCAGAATAATAAAACCAGAGGACACGGTCTGCGATTGAAGTGGGGTAAATTCAGAATGAATCTACGCAAATACTATTTCAGTGAGTGAATAGTGAACTTGTGGAACAGGCTCCCTAGTGAGACAGTTGAAGTAGGAAGTTTTGATTCTTTCAAACACAGATTCGATAGTTTTCTTTTAGGAAATAACATTATGGGTTATATTACAGGGGTAGTTTGGGACATACGTGCAAGCGACCGTCAGGAAGGTGGAAGGTGAACTAGATGGACCTTGGTCTTTTTTCCTCTAGCATTTCTTATGTTCTTATGTATTGCACTGATTTCCTGACCTTATATCTGTTATGTGATAGATTAGACTGCAACAAATGAAGGAGATTTGCTGAGTGTAGACCATATATAAATAAAAATCGGTGGCTTGACATACATGCTTATCTGTACATCTACAAAATCTGCGGCTGGAGGAAATATTTTTTACAACGTAACACTCTTGTACCTTTCCAAAAATATCATTCAAAAATGACATTTGAAACTTTGGCACAAATAAATGATGCTTCACATACAAAAAGGAATGATGAATGTTTCCACTTACGAAGTTAACTATGAATTAATCATGACCATGTGACTGATTAGTTTTACAGTCTGTATATCATACATTGCATCATTGTGCTGACTTGTCCTTCATGCAAACGTCCATGTTTATGTATTTAACATAACATAACATAACATAACATAACATAACATAACATAACATAACATAACATGTAGGAGCAGGAGCAGGCCATTCGGCCCTTTGAGCCTGCCCCACCATTCAATTATGACTGATCTTCTAATCTAACTCCAGCTAATAACCTGACCCTGCCTTATCCCCATATCCCTTAATCCCTTTTGCAATAAGAAATCTATCTATCTCAGTCTTGAATATGTTCAAGGACTGAGCGTCAACAGCCCTTTGGGGTAGTGAGTTCCATACATTCCATACATTCATAACTGGGTCCTTGCATTGCCAATTGCTAAAAATAGCAAACCTTTTTGTTTGATTAGAATGAGATTTCCCTGATATCCCGTTCTGTTTGTCATCCTGAAATGCACTTTGCATTAAACAGTTACTACTTCCTATATGGTCAATAAACAAAACTGAGAATACTGTAAAACTTTTGAGATGTGTTTTGAGATGTCTCGATGACACAGTAAAGGGCTTTATTAAATGTGAGGATTATTATTATTTTTTGAGCAAGAGGTCCTTTTAGTCAGTGTGACATGTGTGATCTCTTGAAAAGAGTTTCCACTTGGATGTCTTAATTTATAATACTAAAAATAATAAGCATTGTGCATTGCATTGAATACTGCGCCTTTCACATTTCTAAGCACTTCACAGAATTTACTCCAAAGTGTAATCACCATGTATTTTGTAGGCAAACGTGACAGCCAATTTGTGCATGCATTGCAACATCCCACAAACAGCCATGAAGTAAAGAGATACTGCAAAATCTACTCCCATGTTTGATAAATAATATTTTAAAATTAAAATAAAATGAGAGATGAATCCCAATTATAGATAAATTTATACAACCAGAGAAGAATCGGGTCCACTCATTCACCAAGATCAATTCTGTGCTTTATATTTAGATCATCATCAGAAAAAACATATAAACTTCAGTGTATTTGAAGAATTTCATTCTTTTCAATTCACTTACTTCAAATGGTTCATCCTTCTGGTCAAATGTTGGCAGCGAAACAGATTTATTATTTTTACCAAACACAATTAAAGAAATTATCTGCTTTTCGGTTAAATTTTCAAACTCCATTGTATGCAGCCACACAATCCAGTTTCCTTGGCTTTCACTAGGATAATCCTTCATTGGGTTAGGGAAATTACGAGCTGCTTCTGAATAACAAAAACAAACCAGCACTAAGTTTAATTGATTGATATCTAATTTTCTTAGTAAATTTACTTACATTGGCAATGATAAAGAATCCTTGCATTTGATATATTGCCGTATCATATTGATTAAATATCTCAAATTATTTCACAGGATTTATTGTGAAGTGCAGTGACTTTGTAACATAGCAAACGCATGTGATGTTCCCATCAAGAGCGCACACTGCTGACAGATTCTCAAAGTATTCAGAACTAAAATGAAAAGGGTGTTCACTTCATATTAAAATTCTATCCCACAAACTTATTACATCTCAAGATATAGGTAATAAAAATGAGAAAAGAAATGGCAAAATGATTCCTTATTTCCAGTCAATCCTGCAGAGCATATTCTAAGTTAAAAAGGAAATGTTAGGTCTTATAAATGTTTACCATTTTTAAATATTGATTAAATATCTCAAATTATTTCACAGGATTTATTGTGAAGTGCAGTGACTTTGTAACTGTGTAGCAAACGCATGTGATGTTCCCATCAAGAGCGCACACTGCTGACAGATTCTCAAAGTATTCAGAACTAAAATGAAAAAGGGTGTTCCCTTCATATTAAAATTCTATCCCACAAACTTATTTCATCTCAAGATATAGGTAATAAAAAATGAGAATAAAAATGAGAAAAGAAATGGCAAAATTATTCCTTATTTCCAGTCAATCCTGCAGAGCATATTCTAAGTTATGTTTACCATTTTTAAATATCATACTTTATTGCTTAATGAATTTAAACCAACACGAATATTATTCTTTTCGATTCCCACCAGGGTTGTGATTATTGAACATTTAAGACTAGTTTCAGATTACAATAATAATTCTTGCGTTTGATGTGACACCTCTTATGTCGAAGCAAAGCACATTACAGAGTTTTCTGCAGAGTGTAGTTTGCACATAGAATTGTCCGACACCTATGAAATTAATGACCAAAGTTTTACTTTAGGATTGTTGGCTAGGACATCAGGAGAAAATCGCTTTTATTTTCCAACAGTTTCATGGGATCTTTTAACTTCCACCTGAGCAGGCAGATGGGACCTCAGTTTATTGTTTCATCTCTGACAAGACAGTATTCTCAACTGCACTCAGGATGGCAAAGCTAAGCAATATTTTGTGTCTGAGGTGGAGGAGTGCTAAGTAGAGAAGGATGTGATACCTTGAAGATGGATGATTGTTTCAGAGTAAGTATCTTCCTTTTCATGTTTGACAATCCAGTCATCGTGGCTAAAAGTGTAAGTAGAAATGGGTAATGCTCCTTCCACCACTGTGATTTTCTCCAGGAACCAATCTGATTATTAAATATGGAGAAAAAAATTGAAGCTTTAGTAACGTTATTAACCATTTTTGAAACATAGCTGTCACTAAATCAAGCATTGAATGTTAGCACCTTTTTACATTGCATGGATGTCTCAACGCACTTCACAGGATTTACTATAAAGTGTAATTACTGTATATTTTATAGGCAAACACAGTAGACAATTTGAATACACCAATGTCCCAGAAACAACCGTGAAGTGAATGACCAATTTTATCTGGGGATTGTTGGCCAGGACACCATGAGAAACTCCTTTCTCTTTTCCAGTGGTGCCATGGGAACTTTGACAGCCAACTAAATAGGCAGTTTAAAGTTTCATCTGAAGGATAGCAGCTCTGACAATGTGCAGCCCCCTTCCGCCAGCACTATCACAACATCACTACACAGTTCTCACAATAAACCACAACCTTCTAAATCAGAGGCAAGTGCCAGGCTTACACCTTTAGTTTGTTCTTCTAAAAGGTAATGTCTGCAAATCAGAATTCCCTGTGCTAATTGAGACTTCAGAATTAAATTGTGGGATATTGTGGGTAAATTCACCAAAAAGATGGGAAAAAATTGCAATCTTGAAAACTGGCAAAGGCTGTTTTGCTTCCCCAACCTTTTAGTGAACTTTTCAGGGCTATTTCTTTGTGCCTTGAAAAAGGCCAAACCGTCTGCCAAAAGATCTTGAAAACGGCCCCCAGTATCAAAATTTATTTTGCAAATGCTTTGAGGGTTCCCCACCCCCCTCCCCAAGGAGGTCAGTCTCAGGATTGTGGAATAGGGATTGGGGGAGAACTCTTGACTACTGTTTTTGAGTAGAAGTCTGGTTGGTGGAGTCAAAAGTGACAGGATCTCAATTCAACATCAAGTCTTATAACCAGTGATATGAGGAGACCTTCAACTCCTTTTATTTGAATGACCTTATCAAACACATGCAAGTTAAAGCAAATAATACCAATATTAATAAGAATAAGCCTTGCATTTAATATAGCACTTTTCATGTGAAGAGGATGTTTCAAAATACTTTGCAGGATATACTCTGAAGTGGAGTGACTGTGTATTTTGTGGTCAAAGATAAGCTAAGATCTGAAATTATTCTTCCATGAGGAGCTACTTTCAGTCTTGCAGAAAATTAGAAAATATAGCAATTGTGTTGCTTCTATGAGCACTCTGAGACGCTATCCTGTATAAAGATTGCTATATAAATGCAAGCTGCTGTTGTTGTGTTTTTATGATTGTAGACTAATTAAATAGAAATTCTGATCAAAATACCTTGTAGACTGCTGTATCCAACAGTAAGATATTGTACTCTACCTAGATCCACTGCTTTGAAAATGAATGTTGCTGTCTGAAAAGATAAAAAAAAAGTTAAAGCACAAAATAAAAGTCTATTGTATGATTACATTACATGCAGTTGAAGCATTATCTGGGAACATAAGCAGGATAATAGACTTCAATGAATAATTAGTAATAGTTCCAGGTATCTAGTTTACCCATCCAAAATTCTCAACAGATTCCTTCAATGCATGTAAGGTACTATATCAAATGCAAGAATTATTATTATATTCTTATTATGCACCTCATCATGTAGTAACCCTGAATCCTTTCCAGGTACCCGTTCTAATTCCTTTCTGATACACTTGGCAGTTAGTTGAATACATTTTAAATACACATTTTAAATAGCTGAGTAATTATTTCAGGCAGAAGAAGATCTTATGTACATACTACAGTGTATGGGATGCTGAGCTGTTATCATTCAATAGAAGTACCGTTACTGTTAATTTGAACTAGATTTGGAAGAGGAGGTAGAACATAAGAAAAAACGTGGCCTAGGATGATCAAATGGTGGTGAGAGAGGTAAGAGTTTGCGATGGAGGGAAATGGAAGATAAAACAATGGATCGGTGGCTATTTTGCAACATGAACCAACATGATTTGTTAGAGTCTATGTATCTGATGAGAGCTAAAGTCGTGAACATTATATTACTTATTTATTATTGAAGATTTGCCTGGACCAAAAATAACACAGAGGTGTGTAATTTTAGCTGTAGCCAGGGTGCTTGCCACTGAGTCAGAAGATTGTGGCTTCAAATCCCACAACTGAAATTGGGACTTTGAACTGACAGTACAGACTGACACTCCAGTGCAGAGCTGGGGGGCAAGCTGCATTGTTGGAGGTGTTGTACTTCAGAGGAGAGGAGATGGAGATGTCTGCCTGTTCAGGGTGGACATTAAAGAACTCACAACGTTATTCAAAAAGAGAGGGGGGCTTTCCCCAGTATCCTGTCCAAAAATCCCCCAGGTAAAAATTGGTCTTTCGCTTCCTGGCTTTTTGTGTTCGTTCGCTGAATGTACACTAGCTGCCGTGTCCACCTCCAAAGTACACAGTCATTACATTTAACAATATATACTGAAAGTATTTGAAGCAATTCTAACATGTAAAGTGTTATTACAAATGCAAGGATTATTTATTATTAAATAAAAATATTGTGAGTTCTTTGAGGGATTAAGAAGAAAGCAGAAAAAATAAAATAAAACAAAGTAATAGAATTATTTTAAGTCTATTTTAAACCAGTGTAAAATAGTTGGAAAAATAACTTTCTTCAACAGAAACACTTAAATTTATATAGCATCTCTCATGTAAAAGAAACATCTCAAAGCGCTGTAGAGAATATGAAATGTCAATTAGAAATGACGTGAATCTTGTTATGGAGCCAGACTTTGTGCCAGTAAAATCCTACAAATGCAATGGACTGCGAAGCCAATGAATTGTTAATTTTCTTGTTTTGCTTTCTGCTTAAGCCGCCCTAGGGCTTGTCTCAAGACACCAAAGTTTCCATTTATAAAATCATGTTCCTTTGTGTTATTATTTTTGGTTCATCCAAAACTCTAGTGAACAAGTTACTTATAGTAACTCCCGTTAAGTACTTTGAGACATCCTCCTGACGTAAAGGCGTTATATCAAATGCAAGGTTTGTCTTTATTTGAATAGGAATTTTGGAGTGGATTAGTCAAAGCAAAAATAGCTCCCTCCATGTCATCGGGTCACAGCTGATAAGGGTGACAACTTATTGTCCCAGAAGTCAGCTATTTTGGCTTCCTGCAGGTTGATCAGAGTTTTGTCTTGCTGTGAGAATGTGCAGTAGCGTTGACCAACGATAGTACCTCATTACAGTGCTGGTTGGGATTTTATGGCCCAAAGCTATAATAGGCCCCACTGTATTACACAAGTCATCAAAGAATTCAACATCTAAAAGGCAACAGAGAAAGAGAATCCTACATAATTCTGTATCTCCTGAAGCAAATTTAAGACAAAGTAGATGAAATTCTGGAGAATATTTTAGCAGGTCTATAAATGCTGAATATCCCAGGGCTAGAGTATCGCAAACATTATCCCGTTTTTCAAACATGCACTGAGATACAAGCCTGGCAACATACATGAGGTGAAATCTTGCAGGGTTGGGAAATGTCACAAAGGTCATCCCATACAGTAATTAAGCTACCTTTCTGCAAACAAATACCTGGTAAGGAATGATCTAAATTATTGAATCACAGAATCTTTACAGAGTGGATGGAGGGCATTCAGCAACATCCAGTCTGTTTTGCTGCTTGCTCCTCCACTGGAGCTATCGACTCCATTCTCTTTCTGCTCACTTAAATACCATATAAGTAAGGAATAGTATATTCCATAAGTAGGAGTATTCAGACTCTATCAAGAGTAATACATAGATTCAGACCAAATTGATTTCTCATAGCGATGTCAGGAATCCATGATTATTCTCGAGTTTTACCGAATGACCTTTGTGGGTATTGGCAAGATGGAGATTCTATGCATGAATTTCCTCAGGAGATAAGAGCGGATGAGGTGAAATCAGTTAAGAGCCAATCATCCAGAACTCTGGAGCCCACATCCTGTCCCACACAAGGCTCTGAATTTTTGTTAAATTTCTTACTATTTATTTACTAAAAATGTAACTTGTTCTGAAGCATGACATAAGCTTATTTGACACTGAAATGAATATTTAAATTGAATGCTTCAATGATTTAAGTATTCTATGTCTTCCAATATACATATTGTCTTTTCTTTTTACTGTTCTTACAATAATGAGAACTTGAGAATTTATAATAATCCAAATTTACATTNAAAAAAGACTGAGGGAAAATAAAATAATAATAATAATCCTTGCATTTGATATAGCGCTTTTCACGTCGGGAGGACGTCCCAAAGCGCTTCACAGAAGACACTGTAAAGTGAAATGACTGTATATTTGTGGGCGAACGCGGCAGCCAATTGCGCACAGCAATGTCCCACAAACAGTCGTAGATTGAAAATGACCAATTTATTATTGTTTTTGGTTTTGGAGGGATTATTATTAGGAGTGTGGAGTAAGGAAACTTGCCCAAGGTTTTGCCCTGTCTGGAATTGAGGGACATGGGGATAGGGCTGGAATAATGGACTAAGGATTGGATCTAAGATGGGCACCCATATGGAGTATAGCACTGGCTCACTGAATGGCTTATTCTGAACTGTAGTTATTATGAATTTATAAAACAAAAGTGAAAGAAAAATCAGTAATGTTTGACTTCCAACTGAAATCAGACATTACCAGCAGGAAATGATAGTTTCAAGTATCAAAGTGGATTGGATTTGCTTCAGTGTGAAGCACAGAATGGTCACGAAAGTTATCCAAATATTATCCAAATATTCCGAACCTCATTCACGCAAACATACCTGTCCTGGATCAAATATAACCTCTGACTGAGCAGATTGTTTCAGCCAGCGTTTTCCAGTGTCCCCTTTCTCTCCATGTACAATAATGTAAAATGTTCCTTGAATGGCCCCGTGGTTCACATTCCCAGTATATATGTCAACTTTGTACTCTACAACTAAATCAGAGGTCAGAATACATTTAGACCATGAAGTGTCAATTTGCATTACAAAGGTACAGTGAATGAAGACGGCAGATTCCCATTGGGAAAAAAATACACAACGAAAAGTAATGGAATATTCGGTTCACTTATTCCAGAAGTGAAAACATCATAAGAATTCCAATTCATTTGTGGTTTTCTGATTATACAAACTATTAAAATACTTAATCAGGCACCTATGTAGGTGGGTTTAACATTTTTGTAACATTGGGAAGAAGTATATGACTTTATAAGCATTCATTGTGATAATTATTGCTCTGCTGAATATCACACAGCTAATATGCAATGTGATTGTTTGATGTTTAACACTGAACAACCACTAGAGGACAGCACATCCCTCTCAGGGAGTTCTGACCAAAGATCATCAACCTGAAATGTTAACTCATTTGCCTTTCTCTATAGATGCTGCCTGACCTGCTGCATGTTCCCAGTGACTTCAGTTTCCTCTCAGGGAGTGATGTGTCTTTATAAATTTCAGATTCTTAGGCCACTATTGATTTATTTTATATATTTATATAGGATTTTCTTATTTGAGATTGGAGCAGCTCTGACTTAATTTTTATATTTAATATTAATTTTTCTATTATGATCTGTAAAATCTGTGTTGTTGCTGTTTGGACCCAAGCCTTATTCCAATAGTTGGGGCTGTGAACTAATTCTTCACTTCAATTTGGACTCAATGTTTCAAGACTTGAAAAGCTCAGCAAACAATTTCAGTCTTAAACTTAACATTACCATTCCCATGTGAGCAGGTGTAAATTACTGATGCAAAGCCTTGACATCTGGTTTCTTTTTAGGTGCTTTATGGACTACTGGTCCTGGTGTGATGAGAGTTGCTTTGAGAGGTTTTCTTGGGATCACCATCTGTGCCTATTGATAGAGTGGCTGCCAACTTGTTAGCACAGTTGTGAATCTGCTGTTGTTTGTTTTTCTTTGATTTTATATTGCTAAACGTCATTCAGTTAATTTTAATTCTTAATTTCGTGACCCCTTGTATTATTCATGCACTGCTTTGTGAAAAGATTTTGAAAAGGCCATCCCTGTTTAACTGTTTCACAGAAACCCACCAGAGGGCTAAGGGCATTACTCATTAAAACAATCTGGTAGAATTTCCACACAACATTAAAAAACAGCAATCCAATTCCGCAAAAAGTGTGACATGATAGTGATACCTAACACATCACAAGCAATTGTGATATGCTAAAAACTATTCCCAATGGAGAAATTGTTATCAATAATGTAGGTATACGATACTAGATGTTAAAATAGCAGGATTATGCATGTAACAGTGAACACAACAACAACAACAAGATTCCATTTATAAAGCGCCTTTCACGTCAGGAGGACGTCCCAAGGCGCTGCACAGTTGGGTCAGGACCCGAGCAGGGGGGAAATGGTCAGGGTGAGGGGAGGGAAGGGAGGGAGGGAGCGAGGAGGGGGAAGAGAGTCGAGAGGGGAGCTGAAGGCTCCCATAGTCCAGCCTTGAGGTGACAAAGGCGTGGACCAGGGTTTTAGCAGCGTGAGGGGTGAGGTAATGGCGTAGTCTGGCGATGTTCCGGAGGTGATGGAAGGCGGTGCCAGTTGTGGTGCGGATGTGAGGGAGAAAGGACAGCTCAGGGTCGAACAAAACACCGAGGTTCCTGACTGGCTTTGAGAGGTGGAGAGTGCAGCCTTGGATGCTGATGGTGTCGGCGCCTGAGGTGCGGAGGCTCTGACGTGAGCCAATCAGGAGGGCCTCGGTTTTTCGCACGTTGAGCTGAAGAAAGTTGTCTCTCGTCCAGGACTCGATGTCAGACAGGCAGGCTGTCAGGACATCGGTGGTCGTGGAGTTGAGAGTAGAGGAGGAAAGGTAGAGGTGAGAGTATACGAGTACACTATACGAGGTGAGAGTAAATGTACCATGGAAGGATTTTACATGAGGCAAATCACTCGTAGATTCATCCACAGGGCCTCCCACTCTTTAAACTCCAGTAATAATAATAATCCTTGCATTTATCTTACGAGATGATGGGATGCTATTAATACTACTGAACCTGTCTTCGTGCACTTTCCTATCTCTGTGATCTTTTCCTATGCCGCTCCTCTGCTTGCCCCCTCCGCTTAACAAATTCAGCCTGTGGTCGTCTGCCCACTCTGATTCGTTGTCAGTGGTCAAGCCTTTAGCAACTATGCCTATAATCTCCAGAACTCTATCCTCTACCCTTCCATCTCTTTTCCCTGGGGCGCCCTCCCTATTTGTCTTAAATTCCCATCTAAAATCCTGCCTCATAGATGGTGCCTACGGTCACCTCCCCTCGGTCCCTCCTCCTTTCTTCAGCGTCAGACTCGGTGTTTGCGCAAAAGACAGAGATGCTATCCTGCCTGAAGTACACTAAATAAATGCAAGTTGTTGTTGCTATTGTTCAAAGGTAATATTTTTTTTATCCACCACATGCCAAATATGATTATGTGACTGACAAGTTGATCAAGCTATCTACTGACATTCCTAGACCATTTTAACTCTAATCCTTTAACTATCCAGCAATACGTGGGTAAAAGCAGCCTCAGTGGTAGTTCTTCCTCTTTCCCTATGCAATTTCTTCCAAAATAAATGAAACAAAACTGAACAAAAGAAGATTGTGTGCACTTAGGTGCTGTGGGGTCTGATTTGGCCATTTGTAAGAGACTTAGGACGTATATGGTAAAATGGTTGTTATGTGTGGTACAGTAAATAATCAGCAGGAATCTTTCATTCTGAATGAGATCAATGCATAGAATTTATACAGCTCTGCTTGGAGACAGGAAAAAATATTCATGCAATGGAAGAGCTTTACTAACAGTGAAATTTGTCGTTGTGAAGCATGATGCAGAAACAGACTGAAGAAGCCTAAAGGAATACATAATACGAAACAAAACCAACCAACTAAAAATGTCCCAAATTATACCAGCTTATGGTTGGCTGAATATTTACTCTCTGGATTCTCCTAGACAAAAAATTGTGAGCACCGTATTACTCTGCATGTTATTTTGTTTACCATCTTAATTGGTATATGCAAATGAGGAATTCGGTCTACGTCTGTGTACTATGTATCTGTTGGCAATAAAATGCTAATTATAATGCGGATTAAAGTTGCCTAGTTTGTTCAAACTGGAAAACAATGACACTTGGATAAAAAGGAAGCTGGAGTCTATCTTTCTGTTCACTTCTTCCAATTTCTGACCTAGCCTTTGTTTCCATTGCACAGCTACTGCTCTTAGATTCAGCACAGGTCCTCCCTCTCTTCAAACTCCAGTACCTTATGACATAATGGGATCTACATTGTAGTATTTCTGAATGGGACAGAGTGCAGCCCTGCTATAACATCCTTCATTATAGGACAAAATAGTTTCTAAAATAGTTGCTCCTTCATTGCACATGCCATGTTCCAGCACACAAAGGAGGCCTTGCTGAAATCTTCAGGACATATGTATGAAGGAGTCTTGGATAATAAGACTGGTGCTCAGTCTTATTTTTGAAGGGCATTGAATTATTTATCCATGATGTGATAATTATAATCGATGATAATTAACACACCAGACATTGCAATTTTGGGCCCCACTATTTTTTAATTATTTATGCTTGTTTTGTTCCCAAATGTTTTCTTTATATATAAATCCTAAAACACAATTACAGACTACATTGGGTCAATCCACATTTCTGGCTGCCTTCAGGAAGGATTAGCTACGTTTTTTTGCAATTCAAATGGCGATGACTCAAGGGAGTTTGTGAGAAAATGGATGAAATTTACAAATGTTTCAAATGAATTGAACCCTCACTTATGGGATACAAAATATTACTACAGACTGTTACAAAATGTTCTGTTGTATCTGCATAACCACTTAACATGAAACAAAAATAAAAGCATGAGTGAAAAACGCAAAGAATGATTGAACATAAATTTAAGCAGAAAGGGTCAGAAGAGCTGCATATAGCATCTCACACTTCACTCCATTAGACTGCAAATTGATTGTTCCAAAAGGTCTATTAGAAATAGAGAGAGAAGGAGCTAAAGATGTCAAGTTAGCTACTGTAGATACAGTCGCTCATTTTTGACAGAAATTTAATATGTAAATCCAAGTACAATTTGTCACCATTCGATTATTGTACAGCTTTGCAATAACATCATTTGCAGGTGATCTTCCTTCAATCCTTTGTCTGGTTCTAAGCCCCTTTTTTTAAAAAAAAGTTCTTTCAGAAGGCCGGGGTCTTCATTTGGAAGCCAGTTTTCTACAGTCTTAAAAAATGTCTGAAGGCAGTGATAAGCCTGATTACCTGTTAGTCGAAGAAATTATGGGGTAAAAACTGCAGCATTCCCAAACACCATTCTGATCCTTATTTAAGAAAAAAATATAGCAGATGGTGACACTCCCCAGGTTCGTGGTTTGCTTTACTCAGAGTTCTAGGACTGCCATTTTGTTTGTGTCCTGGGGCTACAAATTCTATTTTTATATACTGTAGGCAGTAGAGCCTGAATTAAGAAAGTAATAATAATCCTTCTATTTTACATAACATCTTATCACGTTGTCAAAATCACTTAAAGCTTTTCACAATATTTTCTTATAAAGTGTAGTGACTGTATTTATGGGTGAATTCGGCAGTTCCCCTACACACAGTAACTTCCTACAAACAGCCATGAAGTGAATAAAGAATTTTAACTGGGTGATTGTTGGCCAAGACACTGGGACAAAGTGCCTTCTCTTTTCAAACGTGAGATCTTTAATGTACACCTGAACAGGCAGATTGGGCCTTGGTTTTATATTTTATCTGAAAGATGGCACCTCCGCAATTAAGTTAGCAGGATGAGAGTGTGTGCATTCCATTCCAGTCACAGGATATTTCCATGGTGATGGGTTTCTGCGTGTGCCAGAGACTCATCCGACCATATGAAAATCTGAACCTCACTCATGATTTTGTAAAACCCTTTACTGTGGGGAAGGAGTTTGTGGGGGTTTGGGGGAGGGAGGCGCCAGGGACTGCCAACTGCTGGTATTTCTAAAAGCGTTCCTTAAATAAGAAATGGGATGCCCTATAAATTGGTTTTGTTGTTGGGTGGAACAAACAACAAGAGCAACAACAACAAATTGCATTTTATATAGCGCCTTTCACTTTGGGAGGATGTCCCAAAGTGCTGGATAATGAAGGGTTTTCACCCAAGCTAGGGGTTGGGATCAGAAGGGGTGGAGGTCAGGGGAATGACCAAATGCACAGTTGAAAAAGAAGATCCTGAGATGGGCCTTAAAGGAGGTAGAGGAGGGGGCAGAAAGGTTGAAGGCTTGGCTGCTGATAGAGGAGCAGGCAGGGAGAGGGATGTGGAGCAGGTAAGTGAGTGGACAAATTGGTGAAGTTTTAATAGGTCGCAGAGGTAGGGAGGAGCAAGCCCATGAAGGGCTTTAAGGGTGAGAGAACCACAAAGCCACGTAAATGTTAATGAAGTTAATCAAGTTTGTAACTAGTCATGGAGGAGAACCTTAGCAATTTCTCCAGTGCAAATACCTGGTGTGGAATGTTGCCCCACCATCACAGCTTTCCAAGAGTCCCTCTGGACTGCAAATATTTCACAATGATAGAATTTAGTCTCCATGACTGGCTTATGGCATTAACCTGAGAAATGGCATGCAGCTTGTAAATTAACCCCACTTTCTATCTCAACCAGATTCTTCCCCCTAGAGCGAGAAGTGATCTATGTCAAAGAAAAAGAACCAGAGTGCTCTGGGGAATTCTTGACAGTACAGCAGCTTTCCAGCAAACACAGACGGTCACAGTGAACCCTTCTGTTGAATTTACAGCAGGCTTTAAACTTTTGAAAGTCGTACAATGTCAGAAAAGAATTTATGCAGGTTGAATACCTGTCATTCACATCTCGCTACATACCGTGAGCAAAAGACGAGGGAACTTGAACAGATCCACCTGAGATTGATAGTGGGCAATCCTTAAGCCACAAAGGGCAATAAATTGTGTATTGGCCAACAATATGCTGTTTTATGTATCTTTTATAATCTTTTAGATGTGAGCCTGACTCAGGTGGTAGCAATCTTTTCCCTCGAGTCAGAAGGTTGTGGGTTTAATTCCCATGTTGTAACTTTGAACCCATATGGTCTAGGCTGACATTCCAGTGCAATGATGGGGCTGTGCTGCTTTGTTTAAGGTGCCTAACTTTGGATTAGATGTTAAACCGGGGCCCCGTCTGCTTGTTCATGTGGATGTTAAAGATCCCATAGCACTATTCGAAAAGAGAACAGTTTCTCCCAGCATCCTGGCCAACGATAAAATTGATTATTCACTTTATGGCTGTTTTGCTGTGCATAAATTGGCTACTGCATTTCCCAACAATATACATAGTCACCACACAAAATATATCCTATGAAGTGTTTTGAGACCTTCACTAAATGTGAAAGGCACTACATCAAATGTAAGGATTATTATTGTTGTTCTATTGAACATGGAGGCTGAATAAATGAAGGAGAATGCCCAAGACTTCTTCTGAAATTACAATAGTTTACTGAAGTTCTAAAACTGAAAAATCCTTCAGCTCCAAAACTGCTTTGAAATGAACAATGAAAAAACAAATGTTGGTATGTGGGAGCTTTAAGATGCATGCATAATCACTCAGAAAGCCAGAGAGAACTCATTTGTAACTGTTCTCTATTCAGGTCACTTGGTTGATGCAAAAATAGAATAGGAAACATTCTGTTTTCTGTGAGAAATCAGGTATAATTTCTCTGCCACATTACATATCTATGCACTTAACATATCTATGCACTTAAATAAAGGACCTTAATATTTAGGGTCACTTTCAATGGTCAGCAATTGTCACATGGAATTAAATTAATCCCCACTGGCAGTCTAGAAAAGTAGCACAACTCAGTACCAGGTAATGACTGTGGATGAGTAACAATGCTAATACAGAAACAGTAATGGTGGGAGTTTATAGTGGACTTACATTGAACACTGTTACTGACTGATAAAATGAACATAGTAGAATTGTACCACTTAAATCCCATGAAAATGATAATCCTATTTACAATGTTATGGTATGATAAGCCAGGGTCCTTACTTACCAGGCAAAGGATCGATGATAGGATGCAGGGCAGGGAGTTCCTTGAACTGATGTTGATTGCCATCATGTCTCAGCCACAAATGAAAGTCAAACCATAGCTCCTCATTGCTGCCAACATGCTTCATAATAATAGAATCTAGTCTCCAAGGCTGCCTCAAGGTATTGGGTTCAGGACTGACATGGATCTTGGAAATCATCCCCAATGCTCCCAATTCAGCCTAAGATGTAAATGGAGAACAATTCAAATCTCCTCACGCTCATCTTGTGTTAAGATTGAACAACAGAAGCAAATACATTTCTTATCAATTGGAAAGAAAATAATTATTTTACCATAATTTGTGAAGTTGGTTGCACAATCGGAGCAATTAACTTCTTTTGGCCACCTATTCCATAAATAATGATTATTAACTCAATAGGATCTCCCTCGATTAACACTTGGGAGCCTTTGATGTTCACTTGCCATACACCCGATTTCTCGTCTTCTCTGATGTCGGAAATGGAAACCAGCCTTTCACCTGCAGGCACATTCACATTAAAATGACCACAGTTTTCCTCCTAAGGAACAACATATGTAAGCGTATATCGGATCCAGCTGTCAAATAGTAAAATTTTTATAGTAAAATCGTACGATGCACTTTGAGATGTTTCAACTTGTGATAAGGCGCTATATCAAATGCAAGGGTTATTATTATTATCATCATCATTATCATTAAGTGTACATTGTATCAGACTGCTGACTCTTGTTCTAAGCTGAATCTGTTTTATTATTCCTCGTGTTTTGTGTTCCCATTAGATTTTTGTTATTAGTGAAATATAAGCAATCCCTTTTAACCTGCTTCCATTTTAGTTCAATTTCTGTGAACTCTCTCTCTCCCTTTGGCTCCTACTCACCCTTCAAGTTGAAACTATCTCATAAGCTCTAGAATGACGCTTGCTTTTGACATAACACCTTTCATGTTGGGAGGATGGCTCAAAGTACTTCAAAGGATATATTGTAAAGTATACTGACTGTATTTTATAGGTAAAACTATTTTTTATGCTCTATTGAGATGTTAAATATTCCCAGGACATAAAAATTTGTTAGGCGAAAGAACAACAAGGTCCATCTAGTTCATCTTCCACCATCCTGGTAGTCACTTGACATGTCATGTCCCAAACTATATAATGTATCCTGGGATATTATTTTCTAGGAGAAATCTATTTAATTTGTTCTTGAAACAAATGACATTTTCTGCCTCCACTGTCTCTCTAGGGAGGTTGTTTCATAAGTTTACTACTCAGTCACTGAAATAGGGTTCCCGCAGATTTGTTCTGAATTTACCCCCCTTCAATCGCAGGCCATGTCCTTTGGTTCTGCTGTTCAGTACAAGATAAAACAGCTTATCATGGTCTACATTATCTAGTCCCTTCAGAATCTTAAAGACCACAATCGCAATCTTAAAGATATGGACTGAAGGGTTGAATTAGGCACTATTAGAAAGGGTACTTTAGGTTAAACCACAGTCAAAAAGACAAGTAAGGTAATGTTGCTTGCTTAGTAATAGCATATTCTTATTATGATCAACAGGGTGGAGAGTGACCCCTCAAAAATCTCTAACTCAATTTTATCTAAGTAACTGCAATAGACTATAAATATTGTGGTGCATAACATATGAATATTGGCAGGCTCATGCTGCTCACTGAGTATCAACAGGTTTCCAAAGTATAAACATGACTGCACACCATCAAAAAATGAGCTCCTCATATTCCTCAGAAGCCAAAACAATGCTGCTCCACTCTCTGACCATCTCTTTTCTTGGTCTCCAAAGCAGTCATTGAAACTTTCCTTACATTGCTTGTGATTGTGGAACTCATAACCAGTTGGGGTTGAAGAAAAAAATCTCTGCATATTGAGTGATCTTTTATGTTAATTGCAGCAACCTTCATGAACGTGTAAGTGAATTAAGTGCAGGTTTGAAGTCATGGAGTTGCTGAGCTTATACTTTGGAATAATACATACAAAATTACATTTGCACAGCCCCTTTCACATTGGGAGGATGTCGCAAGGTGCTGAATAATAACAACACAAATGCACAGTTTACCTAACAATGTCAGCTGGCGAGAATTTTTTTATCACCAATGTGGTCATCCAGCCACTTCCAGCATGGGAACACCCACTCTTTTTCTGAATCCTCGCCTTCCTTTACTGTAATCATCTTTAGGTACATGCCAGCCCCGTATCCCTTTCCATCGTGACCCACGATCATCTTTGTCAATTTGCTCAGAGATACCGCTTCCACCATGAATGTGTCAACCTACAAGTTGGAACGTAAATATTCTAAGCAGAAGTAACCTTGAGCACTATACTTCTTTTTGATTCACTACAATATAAATTTTCATTTATATAACGCTTTTCAAGTCAGGAAGATGTCCCACAGCACTTAACAGTCCTGGCTTGGTACCTGAGTCGGGGGTGGGAGCTGAGGAGCCAAAGAGTGGGGAGGGGAAGGTGACCAAAAATGCAGGGAAAGAAGTATTCACATTGCATTTTCCATTTCCAACATATTGATTTTTCTGTTCAATCAATGTACCTCGCCTTGTTGAAACTTGTTTCTACTGAATAAGGTTGGAGATGTTAGATTCCTTCTTCCAGAGTCTCCTCGCTCTCCATACAGTGTTGCAAAAACATTAGCAAAGGTTTCTGCTCCCCAGCAGTCACCGATGTGCACGGAAACAAAGTAATCATTGACTGAAATATAGAAAAAAATAAAATCACATAAGAACATCACAGCAAAAAGAGTTCCAGCCGACAGTTCTGATTGAAACTATATCCGAGCAGACGTTACATTTTGCAACAGATTATCTCAAGGAGTAAATTAGAAAGGAACCTTGCCAGAAAATGGAATCCAAATTTTATTTCCTGTGAATCTCTGAGGACTGCATTGGTATAGTTTCAGGAAAAAATGGAATTAAATTAAATTGAATCTTAGAATTACATAGCACACAAGGAGGTCTTTCGGCCTAATAACCCTATAAGTATTACAAAAAAATTCTAATCTCTCCCTTAATTTGAGTGTTCACCCCTGCGGCATTACTATATACAAATTAGCTGCCACATTCACCTATAAACACGCAGTCACTACACTTAATAGTAATTACAGTATTGTAAACCTAATATCCACCTGAACAAACAGACATAATGAGACCTCAGCTTAATGTTTCATCCGAAGGATGGCACCTCTGACAATGCAGCACTCCCCCAGCACAGCACTAGAATGTCAACCTGGACAATAAGAGAGTTCAAAGTCCCGACTTGGGCCTTGAATCCATACCCTTCTGATTCTGTTCATTGAAATTCCTGATCTTGGCTGTGGTATCATGGGGAGGTACAGAGCAGAGGCTAAGCAGATGGGGAATGGGTTAGAAACAAGAAGCAAGTCACTTTGGAAAACTTTTGTTGGTGCTGAGATCATAAAAACATCACTGGAAACCTATGAGAGGGTCATTTTTCTGACCTTTTACCAGGGGAATAATGTGGGGCATGAGTAGATGAGTAGACATATCAGGCATAAGAAAATAAGGTGCCCTAAAATTAGGGATGGAAAACAATCCTGCTTTAAAATTTTAAAGTGCATTGACCACTATTATTACATTCATAGTTAGAATAGCAAAAAAAAGCATAAAGAGTAAAATGGAAAATTAAAACACAAATATCACAGCCCAACATGTTTAGATAATACGACTCAGTTCAATGACTGTTTATTTAAAATAATTGAGGTAAATAAACTGAGGATTTGTTTGTGTTTGCGAATAATTCAAATCAGTTTTAAGCGCTCACAGCCCGTTTCTGAAGTGATTACTATTCCTACCAGGTAATATTGCCTTTCCATCGACTGTCAGGGGGAATTCTTTAATCAGCTGTCTGTCTTCGGAGGTAGTAGACAGCCAGGTGTCACAGTCAAAGAGCAGAGTCTTGTCTACATGTAGGTCTTTTAAAACGATGGACATCAAATGCCACTTCTCAAAGCCTTTCCCCAGGGTATTGTAGTTGATGCGAATCTTATAAATATCTCCCACATCTTCAAAGAAAAGCTAAAGATAAATGACACCGAGCAGAAGGTTATCAATTAGAACAAAGCGTTGCTGAAAGCCTGATATACTGGATATGTTTGCAGATGCCATTTGTGTGGATGTGCAGAACTGAAAAGCACGAATATTTACAAATATAATAATCCTGACTTGCATAACAAATACAAGGATTATTATAATTGTTATAAATAATTTAAACCCCTTCACAATTCACCTTCTGTTCTGCTTTTTACTTTTTAAATACCAACTTATCTGGGACTCCGCTGCCCACATCCTCACCTGAACTGAACCCCACATGCCTTTCACTCCAGTCCTCGTAAGGCTCCATGGTCTCCCTGATTCCCAGCAGATCGATTTTGATGTCCTCGTCCAGTCTTAGAAATCCCTTCAGGCACTAGCACTTCCCTATCTCTCTGATCTCTTCCTATCTCACTCCTCTGCTTGCCCCCTCTGCTCAGCTAACTTGGGCTTGCTGCACATCCCCCTCCCCTTTCCCCTATCCATGCCACCATTGGTGTCCAAGCTTTCAGATTCTACACCCAGAGCTTCTGCAACTCCTTCCTTCTACCTCTGTGATCGATTCCCTCGCCATCTGTCCTCAAGTCCCAACTCCAAATCTACCTCTTCGATTGTACCAACAACCAACTCCTCCTTCCCCCCCACCCCGTGGATATAACATCCTCCTCACAGCGTAGGATTAAGTCCATGTGAATCTGAATTGTTGGCAATTTCATGGAGAGTCTCCTTTAAAAACCTCCTGTGCCTCTACCTCATACCATTTAACCCTCTATGTTTCTTTTATGATTTGAGGTAAAGCACCCTTATTTCTTATCAAGAAGGACTACATTAGTGTTGTACTCATTTTTTTTTGGTAAACAGAAATACTGCCAGTGATCGAAAATGTGATCAGTGAGGAAAGCTTTGAACATTGGCTGAATCTGCAAGGACATATGGTACAACATAGGGTACTGGAATTTGTTAAGATTAATTGTTACCAAATAGTTTATATCCAGGTGGTCACAATCCTATGGTGTGTGGAGTAGACAAATTATTTCTGCTCTTTCTTAAGTAGCTTGCAAGTAATATATAATCTAACTGAACAGCTTGTATTCAAAACAGAAAACAAACTACAAGTAATTCTGAGGAATTCAAAGCACCATATAAGAGCCTCAGTTCTTAACACATAAAGTCAATATCTGATTGATGGATTACATATATCGCCTTATGCACAGTATTGTAGAGTCAAACTGAACATCTTTCACATCTTACAGGAAATTCATCAAACTTTTCTTTAGACTGAATGGGATCTTCCACATTTCTTGGATAAATAATTAATTGTTCACTTTTTCCCTTTGAACCATACACCTCAAGAGTTGTTTCAGTTGTTTTTGGACTGTTAGAATCTTCGGCTGTTTCCACAATGATGTTGAACTTCCTAGTAAAATTAAGAAGGACAAATCAAATCTATAGGACAACCAAGAGAAACAATTCTGCACAAGCTATTCCATGTTTAACGTTTTCTTATTTCTAATTCATAGCCCATCGAAAAAGTAACTGCAACAGGTAAAATAATTTTAACTGAGATGAATAAAGATAAATTCAGAAAAGTATAACTAAAATATGTACATTTTGAGCCAAGAAATTGTAAAATATTCTTCTAATGAATGATGTTTTGATTCTTAACAAGATTTGAAGGGACTCCACCTTTGAAAATCACATCAGACAGTGTGCAGCATCATAAATGGCATGTTAACAGTAATTCTTACATTTGATACAGTGCCTTTCATGTTAGAAAAAAAATATAATCCTTGCATTTGATATAACATCTTATCTCAAAATTGAGATGTCTCAAAGCACTTGACAGGATAAAGTGATATAGCTGTATCTGTTTTGTTGGCGAAATGCGGGGTATATTGAGAAGATATCTCAAAGCGTTTTAAAGGATTTACTGTAAATTTAGTGACTGTGTATATTTTGTAGGTGAAACTTGACAGCAAATCTGTGTACAACAATGACCCACAAACAGCCATGTCCAATTCTGACAAATTTTATTTGGCAGATAGATCGTTGACAGGACCCTGGGAGAGACTTCCTTCTCTTTTCGAAAAGTGCCATGGGATGTTTACCATCTCCTTGAACAGACAGACAGCACTTATGTTAATGTGTCATTTGCAGGATGGTATGTCCAACAATGCAGCAAATCTCTGGGACTGTATTGATGTGTTAGCTTGTAATATATGCGTTTAAAATCCCATAATGGGCCATGAACCCACAACTTCCTGATTCAGAGGCAAGAGTGCTACCACCTGAGCCAGGCTAATACCTTTACACATTTACACAATATTTAATTCAAGGCATATTAAGAAAGAAATTAATGGCTGGCCTCTTGCCTCTTGCTCGTCCCTTGTACCCTCCGCCCCACTATCGGAGGTCATGCTTTCAGCCACTATGCCCCAAAACTCTGGAACACTCTCCCTCAATCCCTCCACCTTGCCCCGTCTCTCCCCTCTTTCAAGTCTCGCCTGAAAACTTTCCTGGTCGACCGTGCTTACAGCCACCTTTTCCAGTCCCCAGCTCGGAGTCAGGCTCCGCAACTATTAAGTGCTCTAAGGCGCTACCCTGTGTGAAGGACGCTATATAAGTACAAGTTGTTGTTGTTGTGGTCTTTGAGATTCGTATCTGAAAATGATGCCTCTGATCTCTCTTCCCTCATTTGTTTTCTATTCTCTCTCGTTCTCTGCAGGTCTCTGATTCAGCCTTATGCAAACTTCCAAGCTATGGTGTTGTAATGTCTCTAATGCTCTTCTACATCATACCATTGGATCTGTTGTTCTTAGCACATCCATTCATGCCTGTCATGTACTTCTCGTATCACTACTCTATGCTTTTAATGTTCCTAACATTGTATTGAACTCTCTCTCCTTACCTCCTATATCTGAGTTGTCCGTTCTATCATGTGGGTCATCCTGGCTCAACTGGTAACACTCTAGCCCCTGAGCCAGAAGACTGTGGAATTAAGCCCCATATTGGGACTTTGAACTCATACCGTTGACTATGCTGGCACTCCAAAGTGTGCTGCACTGAGGTCCCGTCTGCTTATTCAGGTGGTTAAAGATCCCATGGCATTCTTCAAAATAGAAGGAGATTTCTCCCGGTGTCCTGGCCAACAATTTCTCAGATAAAAATAATCATTCATTTCATGACTGTTTGTGGAACATTGCTGTGTGCAAATTGGCTGGCGTGTTTGCCCATGATATACACAATCATTCTATTTTTCAGTATATCCTGTGAAGTGCTTTGAGACATTCTCTTGACATGAAAGGTGCTGTATCAAATGTGATTATTATTACCTAATGGGTCTTAAATCACAAGGGACTCAAAGGGAATTGAAAAAGAGAATGAAAATAGGAGCTGGTGAACATATTAAACACTAAAAGCAGGCCATCCAAATTTAGAAAACAATGTTTGAACTCCAGGACTTTGACATAACTGAGGCTAAGATTTAAGGGGTTTAAAAACAATAAATCCTCCAGGCAGTATGAATGCCTGAAGATATTAGTATAATTTGAACTATACTAGTCTCTCTGGCTCCGAGTTTCTCTTTAGAAGAGACAAACTTTCATGTCGAAAATGAATCTGGTAGGTTCCCATCTACCAGTAGAATTTTCAGACACCCTCTTTATGAGAACACAAGAAGAAACATATTTAACATTAAAATATATCAGGAACCATGGCGGGGAACTGAATCCCAACTTGTCAGAACTGAAACAACAACAACTTGCATTTATATAGCGCCCTTCACACGAGGTAGTATCCCAGAGTGCTTAACAGTGGAGGAATCTGACGCCGATCCAAGGGCAGAGGAAGGGGAGAAGGTGACCGTAAGCACAAACAAAAAGGGAGGTTAAGGAGTTCAGACCCGCAGAAGAGGAAAACGTTGACGGGAGCCAAAGAGTATGGTTTCTGTCCTGCCGGTATTCAGCTGTAGAAAATTTGCGCAAATCCAGACCTTGATGTCCATCAAACAAGTTGACAGGACATCAATGGACTGGGAGTCATAGCTGGAGAAGGGAAGATTGTGTTGTCCACATACATGTGGAAGTTGACCCCACTTCTGTGAATGACATCACCGCATATAGATAAGGAAGAGAGCCAAGGATGGAGCCTTGGGATATCCTGCAGTGACCAGGCAGGGGAGGGAGGAAGAAACCATTTGCCGAGATGTGTTGTTGGCGGGGTGCTATGTAGCACTCATACCATACGAGTGCAATCCCATTAAAGTGGATGAGGGAGGAGAGGGAGTGGAGGAGAATGGCGTGATCAACTGTGTAGAATGTGGCAGAGTCGTCCAGGAGAATAAGGAGGCAGAGGGAGCCCTGGTCACAGAGGGAGAGGACGTAATTTGTTACTTTGATGAGCACTGTGTCTGCACTGTGGGCAGGGTGAAAACTCGACTGGAGGGGTTTGAGTGGTGCAAGCAAAGTTGATTTGCAATGTAGTGTTTGAAAACTTTGGCCAAGAAGGGTAGGTTTAAGATGGGTCTGAAGTTTGTGAGGTTGTAGGGATCGAGGGTATTTCTTTTAAGAAGAGGAGTGATGACAATGGTTTTGAGGGGTAGTGGGACAGAACTTGAGGAGAGGGACTAGTTGCTTGTTGATTGACTGGCAGTGGGCAGAGGAGGGAGAGTTGAGTGACCAGAAGCTGGGTGGGGAGGGAGTCAAGGCAGCAGATGGTGGGCGTCATATAGGTGATGATGGGGAAAAGGGAGGAAGGAGAGATGGAGGCAAAGGAGTGTAGCAGCCAAATGGATGTTATCTACTTTAGAGATAAAGAAGTCCAGGACCTCTTCACACTTGGTATCAGAAGTGAGGATTGAGGCAGCTTGAGCGGTGGGCGAGGAAGAGGTGGTGGGTCGTGGAAAAAAGGATTTTAGGGTTGTTTTTGGCCTCAAGAATCACCTGTGAGTAAAAAGTGTTTTGGGCTTGAGGGAGGGGAGATGCCCGTTGTATCGGGTTAAGGAAAAGTGATCATTTAGCAGCTTGACGGCTGTGTCTGGGTCTCTGCGGGTGGAAGGCCAGAGGGAGAGAAGGTCTGAGGATGAGTTTGTGAGGGACTCGGGGGAAATCTTTTTCCACGGGTGGAAAAGGATGGTGAAGGGTTTGGAGGAGGGGAGGGTGATGTGAGAGAAGAATGAGATGAGGAGACAAAGAACCACATCAAGAGCTCACAGTTGAGGGTAAAATGCGATGACAATTTGTCATGGCCTGGGTGCTCATCAAGATACATCTGCTTTTCTGCGGATAAAAGGGATTTTTAATGGTCCCAAAA